TCCTTTGGGGATCCTTTGGGGATCCTTTGGGGATCCTTTGGGGATCCAGGGTTTTGCGTGGTGCTGCCTTTGCTTGCTAGGGTCTTCCACTAGGATCGTGTTCAGCGGAAAAGATACCAAATGAACATGGAAACGTCCGGATGAGCCACCCCACATTATCCGGACACCGTCACCGTCTGGCACTCCGGGATCGTCACCGTCACCTTCTTGTTTCCAGCCTTTGGCTCTGACTTCCACTGGCGAATTTCATTGGATCACAAGCTAGGTACTGCAGAGTTGTTGGCAAACCACAATTCCAATCACTTGAGTCGGGTGAGTGTCATGCATTCGAGAGTAGGAAGGCTGACTGCTGTTGTGGGCCGGCATGACAATCGGCCAAACATCATTCAATGCAGTGTATGTCCCTGCCTCGCAGTTGTGCCCTCTGTGATATCATTGAAACAAGTGATCCGTTTTTACCAACCTGTTCAACGAAGGGTTTTTGCACGTCACGCGACATGGAACGGAATTGCCTTATGGTACTGTATATACATTTTGCCAAGGTGTACGCAACGATACATAACGATAATATTGTCACAGAAAGACATTTGTTATATATTTAGATGCTGCTGAAAGCATGGCGCTTCATCTTAGTGGCGGCAGCAGCAGCGTCCATGAAGGAAGGCTGTTTCCGTTCTGGCCGCTTGGTCTTCTGCCGCGAAAATCATTTCACTTCGCTAAGCAACAGCTCCGAGAAGAAATCCACACTGAGAGTCGAAATCACAGTGAAAGACAGCGCATTGGCTGCGAAGCTTTTGAGTGGTGATTGGGCACAAGGCGTTTTAGGTGAAGTGGCCAAGGAGAGGCTTAGTTTGCGAGGGGTGGCTTCCTCGAAGAGTTTCACGCAGACTCGACGAAGCTTAGAGGTCTTCTTGCCACACCTAGGGCACTGGGCCAAGTGGAACATTTCAGAGTGCAGTGTGAAGGATTGTGGGGATGGCGGTGTGACCTGGAGCTTGGCAATCTTGATGGCCAAGATGCTGGCTGCTGTGCCTGAGTATCCTCGTCAGCGTGGCTTGGAGCTGGGTGCTGGCACAGGCTTGGCATCGGCCACCTTACGTGGCCGTGGTCACGAGGTGGTGCTCAGCGACGGTAGAGACCAAGTCATTGAAAACCTTCAGAAGAACTGGCCAAGGGCTGACATCCGTCGATTTCGCTGGCACGTGGAGGAGGATCGCCAAGCACTGACCCATTGGGGGCCCTTTGATTTTCTGCTGGGCGCGAATTTGCTGATGGATTCCCGTCATTGTGATGCTCTTCATGCGGCCTTACCGTCGCTGCTGCTCCTCAGTCCTGAGCTTTGGCTCCTGGAGCGGAATCAGTCAGTGCATGGATGTGAATGGCTGCGCTCCGACCGCTGGAATACCGAGCTGCGGCCCGTGGACGTCAGCCCAACTGCGGAGGTGGATGGCGAGCGAAATCCGCCGTGGCTGGTGTCTGAGGCGTCGGAAGCGGTTCAGATTCGCGTGAGCCGACCAAAATGCGATCGAGGCCAGTGGGAACGTGGAAAAACACTAAAAACATCTAAAAACCAATCCATTCACATCCAGTCAGATGATTTGCGACACACTTCTCAGAATGACTTCTTGCATCCTTGGCAGTTAAGTCTGGGTCAAACCCTCCCTGGTTGACCCCGCAAAAATGAACCAATGGACGAACACCGCGGGATGTCACCCTACCATGACTTGAGGGGTTGGGTTTTGAGTTTTGACTCTAAAATAAGGAAGATCCCATGGAAGATCCAATACCCGCACGGTTGGTCTATTTGGGCTTTGCAAGGTATGACACCGCCTCACACTTCATGCGCCTCCCGTGCGCCCGTCAAGGCCGTGGCCTCATTTTCCCCTTGACCGATGCCGAAGCCTCGTGGGAAGGACGGGTACAACGGGGGTGTCGAACGGGGGGCCTTGGATGACATGGGATGACCATCCTTCACGGAGCTTTGAACATTGTACTCGTACATGTGACATCTATGTCACATCAAAAAGGGTGCAAAACCTTGGAGATCCAACAGCTTGATACAGCTTGATACAATTTCTGCATTGCTCATTGATAAGCACCAAGGCGCAAAAGAAGCATTTACATTAATATGATGTTCCTTGCAGAACTTGCGAGCAAAGCAGGATGGGTCAGAGCAACTGTATACCTGCTGGCGATGCTCTACCTCTTCCTTGGTGTCAACATCGTGCGCCCGGCATGGTCATTTGTGGCAGCTCCCCTTGTCATGCAGTTCTGTGTCAAGTCAGTCAGCTTTGTCACGTACACATACGGTTCTGTTGTCAAGTGCTAGGAGGAATGTGGCTGGCTCCTACTGCCAGTTACTGTCAACTAAGAAAATGGTCAAATCGGACCATTCAGACTTCGTATTTCCAGGTGAATCTGTGTGCTAAATTTCACAACCTATGGGTTATAATGGCTGGAAACATTTCGAAAAAAACAATAGAAGTTTTTTGAAAGGTGCGGAGGCAGGAAAACTTGCAACATCAAGTAACCCCCATTTAGCAGCGGATCATTAGCAAACTCTTTTTCAAGCATCTCTTCGTACTGCTGGTGTGTTCACAGCAGATGTCTGTGACATGCTTCTGTCTGCATGTTGGAACTGGATTGAAACCAGCTTGAGGCAATTCAGATCACAACAGTGAACATATCAAACCAAATACTTTATTCAAACAAATGAGGAGGTGGAGTCCGAAAACCATATGCTTGGGAATTTTTCATTGCCAAAAACTTCACTTCGGCCAGCGGTGATCTGTACTTTTCAAAAAAAATAACTGGGGACCAAGTTTCCGGGACCTGTAATGTTGGAAAAAAACTATGTTTTTTCAACAAAAATTATATATAACTGGGGACCAAGGTTCCGGGACCGGTTCCAGAACTTATAATTTTCAAAAAAAATATAACTGGGGACCAAGGTTCCGGGACTGGTTCCAGAACTTATAATTTTGAAAAAAAATTAACTGGGGACCAAGGTTCCGGGACTGGTTCCAGAACTTATAATTTTGAAAAATGGTTATTCTTTTTTTTTTCAAGAAAGGTATAACTGGGGACCAAGGTTCCGGGACCGGTTCCAGAACTTATAATTTTGAAAAAAGTTATGTTTTATTTTTTTAAAATATATAACTGGGGACCAAGGTTCCGGGACCAGTTCCAGAACTTATAATTTGGAAAAAAGTTATGTTCTTTTTTCAAAAATAATATATAACTGGGGACCAAGGTTCCGGGACCGGTTCCAGAACTTATAACTTTGAAAAACAAGTTATTATATGCTTTCAAAAAACATATATTAAGCTTTCTTATTAAAATTTGCTCAAATCGCGTAAAAGAAGCTGTGCAGCTTAATGCAACACTGTTTTTTGCATTAAGCTGCACAGTTTTTTTTTGAGGGATTTGAGCACATTTGAATAAGAAAGCTTAATGCAAAATGTGATTATAAGTTATCATTTGTTGAACAACAAATATTTTTTTCAAAATTATAAGTTCTGGAACCGGTCCCGGAACCTTGGCCCCGGTTCCAGAACTTAAAATATTGAAAAAAACAGTTATGAGTTGTTTCAAAAAAATATATAACTGGGGACCAAGGTTCCGGGACCGGTTCCAGAACATCTAATTTTGAAATAAAGTTAGGTTTTTTTCAAAAAAAAATATAACTGTGGACCAAGGTTCCGGGACCGGTTCCAGAACTTATAATTTTGAAATAAAGTTATGATTTGTTTCAAAAAACAAATTAACTGGGTCCCGGAGCCTTGGTCACCAGTTATTTCTTTTGAACAACTATAACTTTTTTCCAACATTACAGGTCCCAGAACCTTGGTCCCCAGTTATTACGAATCATTTATGTTTTTTCCAGGCTATGTGTTTCTGGACTCACACATCCAGTTATGTGTTTTTTTTTTGTGAGTTGCAAATTGTAACCTTTTTCAGGTTACATCACATTCAATTATACTTTTTGTTTTGAAAGATTCAGGCTATACACATCTGGACTTGTGCCTTATGCCTTCAATTGTTTTGCGTTTTAATGATATACCGGTGTACCAGTTTCTTTATAGTTAAACACTGCATCCCTGAGTTCGCATAGTGCCACACAAACCCCCAGTTACATAAAACTTATGATTTATTTCCACAATTTCCCAACAGAGGTTGCGAAATTTAGCAAATCTGTGAATCTGAATTTGCAAGACGTCTATAATCTATATATTGTACAATTGCATATTCATATCATATATATATATATACATTATATATATATATATGCAACATTGTACAACGCTTGCTGTGAGAATCCGCTGAGAGCCCCAGTGGACGGCACTTTGCGTAGGGATACACTGATTCCTTGTCGACTTGTTACATAAAGTTTGAGAGATCCTATGAATCGTCATTGCATGATGGAAAGGATGCCAAGGGTGCTCTGTTAACCACCAACTCAGAAAACATATCATGTTGGTCATTTCCGACAGAGTCACCCCAGCCACTGAGACTCACTAAGCGAGAATTGTACTTCTCATTTTCCGCCCTCCACAGGCTTCAACAATTACTTTTCATTCTTTAATATGTATACAAGTACTGTAAGTGTTTACGATGCACGCAGTACAGTACGTACTTGATTCTTGATCAGATTCCGTGTTGATTGTTTATTGTGAGAACATTGCGAACCCATCCTTGCTCCTGTTGTGAACAGCAGGCTGCCGACAAATTTGTTGCGGCTATTGAGGGCATCACCAGCACAAAGCGACGAGTGCTGCAGAGGTGCGGCCCAGCTAGCAGCATGGATGACATGGAAAGGAACAAATTGAAACCTCGGCAGACTTAGCAGGGCAAAAGAAGAGGTACATCGTTATTTCATGTAAAACTCTGATCTTTTGTTGGCTTCCTTCTGGTTTGCAGCCACAGAAGCAATGCGAGGAACTAACTGAAGTCTTTCTTGCCACTCTTGCCATTGCATTATGCTCCAACATCATGCTGTACATAACAACCTCCCACAGTGTGCTGGAACCCATGTTGCAAAGGGTTGAACATGGTTGAACACATAGTAGGCTTCACCTTTATCATGACTTGTTGAAAGTCTCCCTCCCTCGCTCGCTCGCTCTGAGTTTCGGATTGTGCAGTCAGGTCTACTGGTCGAGTAATTACAGTTTGTGCTTCTCGTCAGCAGAGGATTGGGGCTTCCATGGCACTGAAGATGAGCGATAAGATAAGAGCCTCCAGACATTTCAACTCTGTCTAAAGAGTCTAAAGTCAAGAGTCCAAATTGACCCTCATTGTGCTGAAGTTTACCGCGGTCATGTGACTCATGTGTTTGAGGTTTGGAACGGCACAGTGGCGAACCTGACGCTCTTGGCTTTAGGCTCTTCTGCGTCCCTTGGAGACAACACATGTCCTTTTGACCATGGGCTCCCGAGAGCATTCCGTGTCCATCCCATCAGCGAGGGGTGCGACGATGTGCCACAGAAGGGTTTTAAGCCTATCCGCATGTCTTTGCATTGAGGCCGTTGATCGGACATTTTGGGAAGGTCCTTTTCCTTTTCAATCCTCGATTGTAAGGCCGGAAATCTTACTCTCCGTCGTTGAGATTATTGGGTCAGCCTGGCGAACTTCGAGATGGGTGCGAACTTCTGGTTGAGGTTTGTAATCCAATTTGGTGCGAACTTCTGATAGTGTCATGAAACGTCCGCCCATTTCGGGAAGTCGGCCACGTGAATCTGTGAACAAAAGTCCACACAGTAGTCAGACCGTCCACTCAAGAAATCAACATGAGTGTTAACATGCCCTGCTTTTTTGAGTGTTGACATGTGTTTTTAGCGGATTTTCTGCCAGAGTTTGTCACGAGATGTGGACGCCAGGAACGGATGCTTTGCTGGGGAGCTCGGCCCCTCCACCATTGTCGGCCCGGAGCCTCAGATGGGACGCATCGGGTGGTAGACCGCCATGACACAACAGTGGCGGGAGAGTCACCAATTTCTGAACACTCTAACGAGAGCTGGGACATAAATAAAGGATAATAAAGGTACGTATCAACTTACCAACGCAACTCTTTTCTCACTTTGTACCATTCTGTCTCCTGACTTGCATTGGACTCCTGACGTGAATAATCAGCCTCTATTGATTCACAAGATGCTTAGTTTTACCTAGTCTACATACTCTTCGGTTCAGTGCTTGTGGTTTCATCCTTCCAGCTGGTCCATCTGAGGTTCTGCGGCGTTCAACTTGTTTTGTATCATCGTTGCAGCCTCGGAGCTGGGGCGTCCTGGGCGGGTGGCCGCTCAACAAACAAGGTCAAGGCAAGACCATTTCTTCGGGCAGCTGGATCTTCTCAGACAATTCATCCCGCAAGACCAAGGGTGTATGTGTCATGGCCATACCCGCTGGAGAAATCCGCCTGATCAAGGACCTAGGCCGGGCTCGGTGTTTGGTTGGGCACCTTTGGGCCACCTCAATCCACACATTAATCACATTGGTTGGCAGCAACCTTGAGATGGCTTGAGTCCTAGCTTTCTTTGCGCTGCTCGTTCTAGCTTGACACTTGGCCATTTGAATGCATCGCTGAATTTGCTGCAGCCCATTTGGTAGTTTCAACCTGTCCATCCACAATGGCTGTTGCCTTTCGCTTGCGCAGTCGGCCAGCCATTAGCGAATGGTCCGTCGATCAGGCCATGTGAGTAGAGAAGATGGCATTCACACGACCAGAAAAGAACCTCTATAGTCCTCCAAAAATGCGAGCCAGCGTTCTGCCAGACATCCATCATGCAGTCAAGCAGTGATGCAGTACCTATTAAACCTGAATTGTCAACGTCAAAGTTTTCAATGGCATCATCAGCACACCTTCCAACCACCGAACCCATCCCCAAAGATCAACATAAGAAACAATGTCGTTTCTTTGAATTTACGTGCCCCAAAACCACAGATCCACGCAATCCACGCGCCAGCGGGGAACAAGAAAGCCGGTGGGACCTCGTTTGCTTTCTAGAAAATCTAGAATCCATTAGAAACCAGATGATTGGTGCGAGCGCTTCTTCAAGCAAGGGTGAGATATCCTGCGTCCATATTATGCACATAGTACTGGTAGCTAACTTTGCCCTTGCTGAATTTAAGTAGGTGCCTACTTAATTATAGAGGGGCAGGCTACGGGCTTAAAGCCACATAAAGAACGGGCGAAATAAACATCCAGTTCTTCCTCGACCTGAAGACCCAACGTTTCGACCCTTCGACCCTCCGGTGTTTCGCTAGGTCTCGGACTTCCTGGAGACCTTGGGCCTCGAGGCCTCGCTGCGTGAGACGTTCCGCGCCGAGTCGGTGGACGGGCGGACCTTGTGCGAGATCACGGATGAGGACCTCTCAGGACCTGGTGCGAACCCACGAAGCGGCCGAGAGACAGTGGAAAGTTGGGGGGTTCAAGGCTTGATAGGGAGTAGGGGGGATGGGAGTATGGTGGTACAGGATGATGTAGGGATGGGATGAGGGTGGATGACAACAGATGTCTTCAGTTGGTGCGGCATGGTTCTGGTTCACATATTTGTATTTTAAAAGCAAAGGTCTTTGGTATAGTAAGACACAGGAGAGCATGTCACAGGTCAGGTGGAAGTGTTTTGCTCGGGACCAGCCTGGGGCAGCATTCAGCAGGATCAGAAACTATACTATATATCCTATCCTTCAACATCCTTCGACCATGATTGCATGTCCTCAAGGACCGCCATTTGCGCTCCCTTTCGGCCTGCGGAAGGCATTGCTGAAGGACACTGGAACCAGGTTCCACCTTGGAGGGTGTCGGTGATCGTTTTAGCCTTGGACGAACCCAGAATAACTCCGTTCTATCCTGGCATTTGTCGTTGCCTCATGTTGCCTCCTCCCTTGGCTCTTTTATGACACGTAGTCCATGGTCTCTCCAAACCTCTCCAACCTATCGTTGTAACAAAGTGGACTTTTTGCACCATGCAATCTGAACTTTCCTGAGCCTGACGTCTCCAATGATGGGTGCTGACGCTGGAACTACGGAGAATTGCAGTCTCCCTGTCGCTGCTGACAGTATAGATAGTAAAGGAGGTAAGCTTGAATATGGAAGATTGTAAAGGGACAAATTGAGATGGGCATGAGTCAAATGAGTCAAATGAGTCAGGAGTTGGCACAGCAGCGACGTTTGGAGAGCAGCCGTCAGCCCGAACGTGGCTTAGAGCGTGGACCGTTCCTGGTGAAAGGCGATCATGTGGACGGTGCCTTGGAGGCAAGAGGCAGATGTCGTGGACTCCTGGAACCATCAAGATCACAAAGACACTCCGAGATCGTCGGAGCAATGCTGATATCTATCATATACTTTTGATATCTTTTGATATATATATATAATATTTTAAAAAATATCCTTTGCATATTCTTTTGAAACTCAAACTCTGGCATTGTTTTGATTGAGCGACCTAGAAACTGCACGGGAGGATTGGGTATTTGTTATATTTGTTACAATATTCGGTCATGTTGTAGGCTCCACACGCTTGCGCCACTTTAGAGAAGCATTGTGAATCATCCAAGTGCTCCAAGGATCATGTTGGTTCCATTATTTTCAACTAATTTTCTGCATGTTTTCCTTTCGTAAAGTCACCTTCGCGCTCAGGAAGGTGTGGGTGGGAGCCATTGCGGACACAGCCCAGGAACTTCCGGATAGATGATAATAGAACAAGACCCCACAATGCAACAGGGATTCAAGAAAGTCAACTGAAAGGAGTGCCAAGGCGGCATATAGAGATATTGAAACCATCTTGAGCCCAATGCCCACTAAGCCTCGCCTTGGGCCCCGGACACTTCTGATTCAACAGGGTGCCTGTGCTTCCAACCTGGTTAGAGCATTAGACATGAGTCTTTAATGAATCAAGTCAGATCCATCAACAACTCTCCTTGGCCAAGGTCCACAACTGAGCCGGGATGCTTTGGAACGCATTCGAACCTATAGACTGGAGGCCAAGCACCGCTGTTTGCTTGGTCATGACATGTCCGCCACCGAGTACAAGGGGTTTTCGACTCAGAGGGAGCCGCTGTACGATGATATGAGACAACAGAAATGAGCCGCCCAAATTCAGTGGTAAGGCGGGCAGCTTCCAATGTGTTCTTCCATCAACGCAAGCCAGGCATCCACAGGACGATTAGTTCCACGGCAGCCGCCCTTGAGCGATGAAGAGCTGGACTGCTGGCAATATCAGGCAGGACGAGGAGTACCATGAGGGGCTCATTACGAAGTCGCACGGACACGAGGTCCGTGCGACTTCGTACGAAGGATTGAGTGATTCCCTTACTGAACATCCAATGATTCGCCAGCCCTGAGGTAGCATCTTGCCACCTCTGAGTCCTTCTGGCCAAATCTGTTCGCATCCGCGGCAATGGTGAAGTGTTTATCCATCCCCTTAGGCAAGACTTGTGAATTTTGATAACAAAAAACATACACATGTCACATATGTCATTTGTATATACATATGAAATTTTATGAATATTTCGCTTTAAACTTGCTGGCCAGTTGTTGAAGTTTACTCGATGATAATGTTTTCCTGCCGCAGATTGATCTTGTTTGCGGAACACTCGATGGCCTCAAAGGCTCAAAATTAACCTGTAGACTACTAAACTGCACACTTTGACTGTTAATTAGCATCTGGATGCCACAGGCCTCATGGCTGGTATGTCCTGTGACTGGAAAGGCAGGTCGGCGTCGGGGACCTGAACTTTGAAAAGACTGGACGAACTCTACAGCTGCAGCGACACTGCATTCACCCATTTCCCCTGACAACACAGAGCCCACAACATCGATATGATGTCGTTCTATCCTTTGAGTCATCAGCCTGATTTTGCATCAATGGGCCTTGCGCGATACACTGCCATATCATGCTGTGTCCGTGCGTCCATGTTCGAGGCCTGGGCAAGAAGCGACGTTGTCTCGACGATGGGCGTGGCCTTGTACCATGCACCCAGCGCTTTGGTTGAGAGGTGCCAGTCGTAAGGTCTCACCTGGTTCACTTCCCGAAAGCAGGAACAATATGTCTCTGAGCTGTGCCTAAGTACAAAGATGATGCACCCAAAGAGCTGTTTTTGTGGCATTTCTCCTTTCATAATTTTTCAGGGCTTGAACAATGATGTGCACCGAGGATTCTGCTCTGAGAAGGAAAAACAGCGGCTCTTCGTCGAGGAGGAGAATGGACCTGCTTGCCAGTGTCCCGAGTTTCCTTGGATGAACCACATGAGACATGTTTGTCTTTGTCCAATCGTTATGTGACGTGTGCGAACCACTGGCACGTGTCATGCAGACGCCATGGCTGCCGCTGCTAGGAGCAAGCTCGCCGCTACGACGCCCAACGAAAGGCCGAGATGGACCACAGCGGTACAAGCTTCGAACGTAGCTATGAGGCGATGGGCCCGAGGATGTCGGAGGTCTTCGCAGATAGGAGACCCTGCGAGACCAAGTTGCTTTTTTCTGGAGTTTTTCGCGGTAGATACGGGTAGTAGTGGCCAAGCATCACACACTCTTTGCAGTTGGGATCAATATTCTGACACACATCCAACAGGTCCAACATGCATACAGCAAGTAAATGCAAATACGAAGCGTCATTCTTGATGCCTCAAGTTCCGGATGCAGGATCATTCATTCCGGCTCATTCGGTGAGGTTTACCCCATGGTGGAGCCTCCTCCCTTGGCCAACCTGCCGGTCTCCACGGCATCAAACGAGCCCGAGAACGCGGAGCAGCTGCAGAGCTTGCGAGCAGAAGTGTCAGGCAGAATCGTTTCTACTGACAAAAGGTGAGGGAGCAGTCCCTCAAATGCCAAGGGCATCAAGACCATGCATTGCGGGATATTGCGGGTGTAGCAAACAAAGGTTCAGTGGTTTCATGTACGTCAGATGTGTGTATATAAATGAATTGTTCAACTCTGTGTCCCAGGCTTGCACACACAAATTCAAAATGATGTTGATTGGGTTTTAGGTTCAAAGTTTGGCTTGTGATTGTTGTGTCAGTCCGGTTGAAGGTTTGAAGAGCCGATCTGCAGCTGTCCAACGACAGATGTTTGAGGGCTTGTCACAAGATGGACACTTCGGAGACTTTCAGGACTGGTGGAGTGGTGTTCAGAAATTCGACTCTTTGCGGCTTTTCCCGGATTTTCAGGGGACCAGAAGGAATGCGGAGATCGGCCGACCATCCCATGAATTTTCCAACAGATTGTGGGCTTCGGTGGATTATGATTAGTATATGAGCTAGGCCTACTGCCAGTAGGCTCAAATCTAGTGAAAGTGACCAATGGTCAGTGAGTGGTCATAGGATTTCAAAAATTCATGTTTCGCTCAAACACGATAAGAACACTCACCCAAATGCCAACAATCACATGACGGACATGAAAAAACGATAAACACATTCACCAAATTCAGATGACCTGCAACTCCGCAACAAATTTGGACCGTCACGGAGCCACGCATGTGATCGTAATTAGGATTTTCTTTGCTTTGGTAGATTATTGCGATCAATCTGAACGGTGGATCTGCATGTTTGGATCAGAGCTGACGCTGACGCTGGCGAGGATGTGGGACGCGCTTTGGAGCAGTTGAAGGTGGAGCCGGCGGATGACGCAGAGCTGGCTCACAAGTTTTCAGTCTACGAGTACCTTTGATGTCAAGGGTGTGGGGAGCGGAGGGGACACAAGCAATCTTGGGACCTGTGCAGATGAATGCGGAAGGTTACCATGCTGGCTGGCCAGCAGGATCAAAAATAGTCACTTCCCCATACTTGAACGCATATCATTTGCACTGGTCACCCTCCAGACTCTACAGTAGTGACTCCAGTGTATGCAGATGAATCATCAATGGTGGATGCCACTGAAGAGAAGCTCCCACAATCAATACCGACCACTTTAATGCATCACAATTCTATGAATAACATTGAATAACATCAATGCCCGAACCTGCAACCATTTCGTTCATGGCCTGCCCTCTCCCTCTGGTGTTCTGTCTCATGTTGAGGTCGTACTTTGCCAGCGTCGTAGATCTCCGGGCAGATCTCTTTGGTCTTTGGGAACGGGGTGGCCCCCTGTTGGCGGCCGCCGATGCTCAGACCATGCGGGGTGCCATTGGTCGTGTGGACAGCTTCGACAACTTAGCGATTCCTGAGAGGTGCCCTGGGTGGGTGTGCTGGCGATGCCCTTTGTTCCTAGTAGCTTCTTGTTCCTAGTAGTAAGGCCAGGAGCCCCTAGTAGCTTCTTGTTCTTGGCGATAAAAACAATTGCCGTACTAGTTAAAACTCTTTGAAAAAAACGTTGCAGTGCCATCTTCTATTTCTCACTCTCCTTCCGTGTCAGGAGCCGGCATTGGTTTGTGTACCACATGATGAGCACTGCCTCCTCCAATCATCGAAAGATGCAAAAGATCATGGAAGACTTGGAGGAGCTTTTTGAAGCGGCACAAGAGCCTTGGCGACGGTTTGCAACGTCAGCGGGATGAACGAATGGGTCAAGTGAGCGCGTTCCCCCGGTAGAATGATTCACAGCTCAACCTCATCCAAAGCTGAACGCCAATGAAGAAGGACCCCAGCATCTGTTGAAATGAGACCGCATGCTCAGCTCACTTCAAACAGCCCATTTCTTGGGAGCACAAGGGAAAAACCGAGACGTGCACCACCTCTGCGGTGCCCCAACCTTTGCTCGCACCGCCACCGCGCGCGGGGTCCTCGCGCCCGCGCCGTGGGGGTCCGAGGACCGACGCACGGCGGGAGAGTCGGAGGAGCTGACGGATGATCCTCAGCTGGGCACCATGGAGGTGATCATTGGACCGGCCTTCGATGCTTGGTGTGACTGGTCACGTGTTGGACTTGTCGGAGCCAGGGAATGGAAGGGAAGACTTCGGTCGCGGAGGCTGGACTTAGTTGGATTAAACAAATAAACAAGGGCTGCAGTGTTTTGTGTTTTGATGTCGAAGAAAATCGATCGTTGCGCTGTTTCTGTTTAAGCTGGAGTTCCCCAAGTGCCGTCCATGTTTATCGATTTCCTTGAAACGTTTGATTTGACCTTTTGCAATAGACTGGTTCCGGTGAGTCAGCTGTGCATTAGCCAATGCTGGCCAATGCTGATTCCGGTACGTGACTTGCTTCTAAGGATATCGATGCGTACAATGATGGAGTGAAGGGAAACCCCTCCAAAGGGATCTTGGCAGCAGCTGACCGAGGCCAGTTGTTAAACATTTCATGTGGTTTGAAAGTGCATTGTTTGCATGTGGCCTTCACTTATCACTCTGGGAGTGTGGTTGTTCTTGCCCCTATATCTCAGTCATCCTGGTCATCAGCATGTCATCGGATGAGGCATCATTCATGACCAGGCATTCTTGATATGGATCGACAATACAATGCGGTCAACTTCCAGTATTTTGCTCAGCAAGCTGAAGCTGGTGTGACTCGTGCTGGCGCCGAAGCCTCCTTCAAGCGACGATTGTGCACAAGCCGCTTGAGCTTCTACATCGAGGCCTGGTCACTGCTACCTAGTGCTGCACAGCTGTGAGCAAATGAATTTGTAAAAACCATTGACGGTATTCTGTGAAGAGTCTGCAAGAATCCTATCACGAACAGTGCACTGCCAAAATCTACTTGATGGAAGAGGTTTTTCTTGTTCCTGAATGGACTCCTGCAGCTCGCCGGATGGACTGCAGTTGGAACCCGAAGTGAACCGGCTTCCGACGTTCCGACCCGCAGGAGTCGCACGGCTCTCGGATCTTCCCTCGGAACATTCTCTCGCAGCTGAGCTTCTCAGCGCTAACGAAGAAATGGCGGGTGGTCGTTGTCTTGGGGATTGAGGCAAACGTACAAACTCTAATGCAAGACTTATAGAATGGATTATATTGATTATATAAATGTATTGTAATATAATGTAATATATAAGACCACATCGTTGTGGCCCCGGTATCACGTTCTTTATTCTCAATCTATCGCTGCTCAACATCGGACTTGCCTTGGTGCTCACAGCTGAGGTTTACTCTTCTACAGGCGGAACGATGCCTTGCGGTTGGCCAATGGGCAGGTGAACGAGCTGAGGGTCGCTGTTTGCATTCGCAAGGCCATTCCTCGGATGCTGCGAGCCATTGTACTGGATGTCTTTCAGGGAGACCGAAACTTCACACCTCACGTGACCAAGTGGCAAGTGAGTGCTAGGAGCAAAGGACGCTACTAGGGCCTCCTGGCCTTACTAGGAACAAGAAGCTACTAGGGCTCCTGGCATCGCTACTAGGAGCAAGGACGCATCGGAAGACAGAGTGTCCTAGAGGTCAGATGTTTTTGATCTGCTAGGGTGGGGCACAGCTGGTGAACATATTAAGCCCTTATACAGTCTCCGCAGTCTCAACGAGCAGGACATTAGATTGCTAGCCATTTTGTGGAGGTGGATGGACGTGTTTTGGCCATCCGATGCTGGAACCAGACACTGTGACATAGCTGTGGCTTGTATTGGGTGCTCAGGTCGAAAAAGCAGTCCGAGTCTACCTGGCGTTGCACCAAGTGGCCATCAAGTTATTGGCGACATTCCGGAAGAGCTATGAGCTTTTGTACCAATCTGTCTTGGAATCTCAGAGACACAGAGATCAGGATCATCTGGTCAACTTGGTCCCGTTGGTCCCTTGTTTTTGCCCAATCCCAACCAACAGACAAGCGCTACAGCACCTTACCGCTACGGAGGATATTCTTGGTGCTCGAACTCAACTCCACATTTGAAGCCACGAAAAGCTGACAGTAATTAGTACTATGCATTACTTGTGCTGTTTTGCTTCGTCCTGTCTTCCATTTTGGGGGCATCAACCCAGGGCACAAGGTCCAGGAAGGCCTCTTCATTTCCAGGGTGGTGTAGCATGAGTCTCTCTGAAACTTCAGCTACCAGGAATGGATCCAGCAACCCTTTTGCGCCAAGAGTGACTTGGTCCGAAGTAGGTTCCCTCGAGGTCCGTCTCTTTGCCCCGACTAACAGGTGGATTCTGCTGTGGCTGCGTGTGGTGCGGTTTCTTTTGGGCTCCTGGCTGATTGAAGCCACATGTGCTTGAAAACGCTCGCAAGATCTGAGGTGATGCAGAGTGGCCCGATCTGGAAGAGTTGCTGCGACTTGGAGCAAATCAACTGGTAGGAGTGAAGCAACAGCAAAGGATAGCAAAGGAAGATGACGGATCCACGCGCTCCATCATGCCTTAAACATCTTAGACTTGAACAGTTCATGAATCCCATACGTTATATATCAAGCAACATCAGGGTGGACCACCCCCCACATGACCTGTTGGGATAGATTGTGATCTAGATAGTGTTTTCCGCCTGTTCCTCCTTGGCTGAGATGATCCAAGGTTGGGCTCCTCTTTGTGCAGTGTCCCCTGGTCTTTGCTTCGAGAGGCAAGCGACCAGGATTTGCGTGGCTGTTGGGTTAAGACTCGAGACCTTAGCTTGGGTGAGTGCAGCCTCAACCGACTGCAGCCACAGATGAGCTTCAAAGATGCTCCTATCCAAAAAGTTTCACAACGAAACCAATGACAGAGAGGATAGACAGAGGCACCATGAGATACCATGAGCCAGAAGTGAAAGGACTCATTCTTCAGAAGTTGTTTTCAATTTTCGAGAAATACCGATATAACATGATATAACAGTGATATATCACAAATCAAGGCATGTAAACGCATGGAAGCCACAGTTCCAGGCCTTTGTTCGGAAGCTCGTGGTCCAGCTCCTGGAGACCACCACCATGAACCCCAAAGCGCCCATCCGTCAACGTGCTGAGCACCTCTTCAACCAACATCGGTATCTTGGATGCATCGACATCCGGAGTGCTGAGGAAGAGGCCCTGAAGGCCAAGGGACAAATCGAGCGTAGCACGTGTAGTGAGATATGTGAGTATACTAGTAGTGATGCAAAGTGAACGTGTTGCAATCATCACAAAACAACTTGGAGTCGAGTGAGTTTGCCATGAGCCCAGGAACTTTCTGGAGAGGTTAACCTACATCTTGTCATTCTTTCAGGCGCGTGGGATAATTCTGGCTTTGCGTTTAGCTTGAACATGTCGCAAATGAGTTGACCAAGCCATTGCAAACATGCCATTCTTGCCTCCCTAGCTCACTGCCGCTCACTGCATCTCACTGCTTCTGTTTCACTGCATCTCACCAACAGTGCTCAGTGATGGCGAGTTGAGGGCTGCAAATCTTGAACATCGCTCTGACAGACAAAGGAAGCTGCCGATAGTGCAGCTTCCAACATCTTGAGCATTTTGAAAAGGAATGCCAGGGTTGACCTGCATGGTGCCCAGGCCGGCCCTGGCAAACTACCTATCCAGGAGATGGACAAGAAATACAGCCGTTGTGCTGGGACTTTACCCAAAGAGGACTGCAGAGTTCCCACCAAATTGTAGATCGCTAAAGCGCTGAACTATGTAAAGATGAACTATGATGAATAGGTTTTGCCCCTTAGCTTAAGTTTGCCTAAACATCTGGGAACCAAATAATTGGTGCGAGCGCTTCTTCAAGGAAGCTCTCCCCAGCCCTCAGGCGGAGCTTCCTTAGGAGCTCCTAGTAGCTAGGAGCGAACAAGTAAGCGCCTACTTATATAATTAAGTATTGGGAGGGCAGACGGCCGATGAGGGCCGAGTGGGCTGGGCTAAAAATGGACACCTGTAGATATTTGTGGATGAACAAGGAACTCATGAACTCGTTGTTTTTTCAGGTCCACAGCTCCACCAAGGTCCACCGGTCGTCTTTCTCCAGGAGCGTACAGCCCTGGTGGATGCAGCGAAAGAAGGCTCTGGCATCTCCTCTTTGGTAGACCTGTGGGCAGCTTTAGGTATGCAGCGGAGCAAGGACCATCCGGGGCCACTTCAACGAATCAGAATGTCATGTTTGTCATGTACGTTGTGATTCACCATGTTTTGCACAAAGGGAGTGAGAGTTGTTGCATCTTGCTTCTTCTCTTGCTCAAGAGCTTGCTTTAGGCTTCACCCAATGCAGTCCTCCTTGAACCTCTGCCATCAGACATGATTTGGAGCATGGTCCCAAAGGCAGCACATCAGCACATCTATCAACAAACATGGCGAACGACAGCTCGCAGACTTTTCGAGCCAAACCCACGCCCACTAGCCATTTTGTACATAAAGAAATATACTGCATCCTTTGATGTGTTCATTTATATACATCTTTCTACTGCTGTGATCCGCTGTGCAATGATGCGAGGACACAGATGAGTCCGCCATTCTTCAGCACATGGATCCTTGGCTCAGCGTGCTGGTTGACCTGGTTGCGTGCTGAGCCATGCCAACACAACTCCAATAAAATGCAATCCCTCAACATGGGCTTACCACCATATCAGCACACAGGCAGTAAGGAGTTGATATGAGTTGATGTAGGATGCTGCTCAAAATGAATGTACCCTAGTAGAATTGAGAGACGCTCCACAGAGCACTGATTAGAGAGTTTAAGAGGAACTTCACTTCACTTCACTGTTTGGATTCTAGAGGTCAAGGTTTCCCTGTGGACTTGGTCCAGCCTCATGAGAGGGGCACCCAAATCGACGAGAAAACGACGGGTCAAGACTGAGACCTATGTGCACATTTTATGGTATAAACGCATTGCGTATATATAAGAAATGCTATGAACCGCTTGCACCACCCAACCCACCGGTTGGACTTGTCAATCCTTTCAAGGACTTGTTTAAGCGACAACCCAATGAGGAGCTCTTCTTTGATTACCTCCAGAAGAATGTGGCCGCCTGGCGAGCTGCACCAGGCCCTACACAAAGCTCTGAGGGTCCCGCGCTCCCACCCAGTGCGCTGGAACAGTCCTCATCTCAGAGTGGTGACAGGATGTGACAGGAAGAACGTGTCCATGATGTGAAGGAAAACCGATTTAGGAAAGGAAAAGACTGTATTAAGGAATGCGGGGGGTTTAGTTTTCTACAATTCTTTTGCTCAGTTTGCACACTCCAATGCAACTTGTTCCTTCTTCGTCCTCTTGCTTAGCCTAACCTGAAGAGGTTAGCCTCCATTGGCGCAGAGAGCGGTGCGCACGGTTGGCCATCTTCGACCGGCACCTCACGCCGAGAGCGGGAGATGCACAACGCGCAACGCCTGGCGGCGGAGAAGGCGCTACATCAAGGCTTCCCGAAGCTACCACCATCCAGGCGCAGACATATCGGGCTTGATGTAGCACAATGTGACTTGAGGGATTGAAGCTGATTTGGGCAGGTCACAGGTTTTTCGGATGTCAAAGCTTGAAAAGCTCCAATCTAGTTTTGACTGTCGGGCTTGATATCGGAACTGATCAGCTTCGATCTTACAGAACAGCACCCAGGAGGCTGGATGGAACCATGTGCTACTACTGTCATGAGCTCAAGCTGAGGGAGGAACAAAAACAGACTGTGAAGGATTTTCGAGATTTTTTTGAGGCTTATGACTCTGACCTTTGAAGTGAGTTCTAAGTAAAGTTTTACCCTGAAAGTCTTCCTCCGAAGTCACTATGCCACTTTGACTAACCAGACTATGCCGGGGCAGCAACGCATTTTGCCCCGGAGCAAACTCAGAATCTGTCAAGTTTTGGAAGATGTTTGCTCAACTCAGACTGATCTGCTCTTGATCAACTGAAGGAATCAAGCAGCCGCTTCAGGTCAGAAACGCTTCCCCAGCCGCATGGCACTCTTCGCGCATTTGCGTCGCTTGATCGACAAGGAGTGAAGATGAGCGGGTCGACAAGGGATGAATGAGAAGGTGAGAACCCCTTCAGAGGTGCTTGTAGCATTCCCGCTACTAAATTTACCAAGTTATCCAATGTTCAATATTTGTGTTCATCACCCATGACACAGAGGGCACCCAACCAGGTGAGCTCTCAAGGTTTGAGTTCAAGAATTGGAGCAGAACCTCGTCTGTCAGGAGCGCTTCGTGGAAGGCCATCATCAAGAGCATTTCAGACTCAAGATTGGAGGCCGGCGTGAAATTGATGACGAATCGTTTTGCTGAAGCGACATGAATGGAATGGCATGGAATAGCGGAATTTCCGTCCACCGAAAGATGTGAAGTTGTTTGGATGGATTGCAAACAGGCTTGTTTTTGCATGTGTTGGCTCTTTTGGCCAAACCCGGACTGGCAATTTGTGGGACCAAGGACCCTTCACTTTGCCATCTACTGGTCCTCACAAATGCGCAGCAGCCAAATGTGGCAAGTCTTTCGAATCCAAGATGGATCTGTGCCAGCAACTAGACTGAGCAATGAGTGTGTGTATATTTTTAGGCAATTGCATATTCAGATAATTTCATATCACCAAAAAGCATCCACCCACCCTGGTATCGCAGAGCTGTAGAACAGATGGTATTTTGCATGTCTATGCCGAGCAAACTTGCTCTTGCTGTTATGGCATCAAGATTGCCAGAACTATTATCTTTCCATGCCTCAATCACCCTTGCAATGAAATGTGATTGAAGGGCAACGCGCTGGCAAGATCTGTTGGGACAACAGCTCCCCATTTATACAGCCACTTCACCCGATGATACCGTTGCGTTTCTTGTTGAGCGGCCGTTTTTGAACGAGCCCCGGCGTCTATCTCAGGCACTACAACATAATGGGTGTCCCTGGCTATGAGAGCCTTGAGAATGCAGGATACACAGAGGATGTGAAGGCTAAGGCCACAAAACAGCAGGAGAGCCAACACGTTTTGCAGGAGGACAGTGGCGACAATGGCTGGGAAGTTGTTGACTGCCCGTTGTTGAAGAGACTTTTTTGGTGTTTCCTACTTAAGTTTGATGCTGTAATGCTGCATGGGCATGAGGCTGCATACAGTAGACACTCTACGTCTACGTATATACATGTACATATATATATGTATATTGTATGTAGATATGTGATCATATGTGTGTTTTTGCAAGTACATAATACTGCATCAACTGTGGCATCAACATGAAGGATGTGTTGTTTAGTTATAAAGACCCAACCTGGTTAAAGCTCCGCAACTTGCCCGGTGCCTGAGTCCCTTTATGAAAGCCAAGCCAAGCCAACCAAGTCAAGGTTGATATGGAGACGGATCTTGCAACGTGCGCAGTGTGCTTGGATCGGCCTGCAGACGTGGTGATGGTTCCTTGTGGTCACATTTTCGCATGTGATTCTGACCTTGCTTCAGAGCATCCTTTTAGGTTTTTGATATATTTTGAGATACTTGTAAAAACCTATGTGCTGTATATAGTACCTACAACATTAAAGGCGCCATATGTCGTCCCGTGCTTCGTGAATCTGACCTAGGTCATTGTTGTGGACAGAAGCTGAAAGAATGTTCATTGTGCCGAGCGAAAGTTTCTCAAGTTTTGAAAGTGTACTATAGCTCGTGATAGCTTGTGACACTGGACTCCTTACTTGTCCGCCTTGCACTGTGCTGACCAGAACCCTCAATATGTTCTCCTGTTTTGTTAGAGAAGGGTAGAACAGTGGGTAGAACAATGTAGAACTGTAGAACATATGAGCATGACATTGGAGGGACGATTCGCCAGGATTGCCGGTTTTCTGCCTGGTTCCGTGGCCTAGCCGATTTGCCGAGATTGTACAGTTCACATCTCATTGGCTCAACATGTACAGGTCCCATCTCTTAGAAAAAATGGCACCATTGCAGCATGGTCGGGAGTGGCGGTGCTGTCTTCGAGTTGGATCTGTCACGACATTGAGAAAGCAATCGAAGGTCTGGTGGGGAAGTGCCAGAAAGATTCCAGAGACCTTGGAGAGGAGCTGAGCACCCCTGGGGGTCTACCAGGTACTCGCGTCGCAACCTCGTGCAAATTGGGCCATCCTAGTCATGGCCTTGGGATGGACAAGTGGTACATAATTACATAATGCTGTCCCCGGTAGAAACAATGTATGATGTACTGTAACTGATATGTTGAGTCCAAAACCACCACATGGACAGTTGCCAGTCATGCGCGATGTGAAAGCCAGGTGTCTTCTGGGTGACTGCGGCCTTCTCCATCTTCGCTTATCTCTGGCTGGTCCTTATTGTACAGGTGCGCACAACTGATCGCCAAGCATCTGCACAACCGACGGGCGGTTGTGCGGACAAGAACGGGACTCGGGACAGCCGGCTGGCACTGGCACTCTTTGGCTTCAGGTTCTGGAAGACTTCACGACTGGTCTACATTGGTCTGCTATGGTGAACTATCCAGATGCGCTAGTTTGCCTCGTTGTACTTGCGGGGGTTAGGAGGGGGGTTCTATCTCTTGACACACGCCCCGACAGTGAAACAGTCGCTTTTCCGAAGCTTGATAGAGTGTGACAGTAAGAAAATTATCCAAAGACCAGAAATGAATTGGATTGAAGAGGACCGAGGATACAAAGACACACACTCTGACATTGGTTTTCAGTTAGCTCAATTCCCAGGAAAAATGGCGAAGGAACGGCAACGCGAAAGGTCCAAGAATTTGAAGATGTTTCAACAATGTTTTTTTTGCACATCTGCAGTGCACGAACGCGCAGCTGCTGAAAGCGGCAGAAGGAAGGGTTTAGGGGGAAGTATCGTGGAACCAGCATGGAAACAAACAAAAGAGATTGGAACAGCGTGGGCAAAAGTTCAAAACTGTCGCAGGTACGTGAGTCGAGCGTCCTCGACTCATATCACAGGAAACGTGCAGCGTCTTCGTTGGTCGCTGACTGCACGAATCCCCAGCGACCCCCTGCTGAACAAGAGCTTCGAAACACAAACGGTGAGGTGGAACCCTTAGGCACAGGGGTTGACATACACACAAGAACTTAGTTACGCCACGAACTTGTCTTCGATGAATGCGGGCAAGAGCAATACAGCCCAAACCAAATTGGGATGATCCGAAAGACCTTTGTGTTCACTTCAGGGAGGCCAAGTGTTTCGGGGATGACTGGACTTTGGTTCACTTCGCCAGTCTCTGGTCTTCACTGATGTTTGGGTGAACGAAACCCCTTCGTGCCCAGCAGTCCTCATGAGGGGAATGTCGAGAAGACAGGCAGTTGTAGAAGACAGGCAGGTGCTGCACTCGGATCTCAGAGGAATTCGGATCTCCCTGTAGGATACCACTGGTATTACCAGGATACTGCGCCTCAAACAAACCTGCCAGACATGTTTTCGGGGTCGTACCATCGAAAGACTTCGCCGACTTCGGTCGCCCACCGGCACTGACAGGTGACCTCCCCCAACGTCATTGAGGTCTGGGAGGCGGGAGGTGGAATCCGATAGGATTGGGTCGGAAGACGTCCGACAGATGGGCACGAAGAGATGGGAAAGGTTGGCCGAAGTCCTTTGAAGAGAGATCGGACCTCGGAGGTGGTTATGTGAGGAGAATTGCGATGACAAGGTACCTGGTGAGAAAGTAGGAGGTTGTGATGCTGCCAAGTTCATTTGGCAAGCAATCTCAGCTGTGCAGCCATGCTACATTCACAACAACTTCAGTTTGAAGAGGTATTTCCTATTGACAGTGCACAAAAAGAACCGTCCAAACTTGTGACACTTTCGGTAAGGTAACCGTGCTCTTGACCTTCTTTTTTTCGGTATACGGTATGAGGTTTTGAACACCACAGCATCAAATCATTTGACCGTTGGGCTTTGCACTTGGTGACAGGCCTTGGTGACCTTAGCCTGGCTTCCCGTGCTGATCCTGGTGTCTTGGGCGCATTGGAACCTGGAGATTCGTGGAGCACCGGTTCGAAGCCTTTCGATTCGCATCGGCGCCCATGTGGTGTCCACTTGACCTGTTTCGGGCCTTGTTCTAGGCCCGTTTCAGTGAAGCCTCGTTTCAGGAGCTAGTAAATGAGGATGGTGATGATGACGATGAATAAGTTCAACAGTAATTACTAGTGAACAGGAAAAGGCCTGCTGGAGAGAACCATGCCGGGAGAAGGCTCCATGATGTTCCCACACATTTTTGCCTTGCAACATCTTGCAACTGATTCTATCATGTTGTTGTGATCTGATGTGATCTGTATGCCAGAGCTGCTGAGGTGTCCTATTTGACTGACATTGGGTGGTTTTCTGGAGTCAGGAGCCGACTTGCTGCCTTGCTTGTTGAATACAATACACATTGGCCGGAGTCAGCACAAGAATATGAATAGGACACTGCAGAAGTCACTTCAGGAGCAGAAAACCATTCCCAAAGCCCCAAGACATCCATGAATCAATGAATGATGATTCTGAACAGAACAAGTTGAGAAAGTATTCTATGAGAATGTATGAAAATATGATTATCATGATTCATGACAGGGTATGCGGAGGCTATGGCTCGTTCTGCCTCATTCCAAAAGCTTGCTCGCCTTTTTCTGATCTTCTGGACGCTAGAAACAGCATCGTTGGAGTCCGCAGTTCATCAGGAAGCAGCCGCTGATTGAGAAGCCCGTGTCACTTGCGTCAGATGGAGAGGTGCCATCGCTCTTCGTTGCGTCACGTTTGAGGATCCTCAGCTTGCTCATGTCAGATGAAGCACATGGACCAAGGATAACCGAGGTACTTGTACATCTAGCAGCAGCAGCACCAGCAGCAGCAGCAGTTTAAATATAATGCCATTGTGAGTCTTTGATGTTGGAAGGTCAGCTTTCATTCAGTTCCTTCCAGCATTCTCACTGCGCCGCGTTTTTGCCCACCCCCGGGGATGCTTCGTACCGAACCCTAGCGGGGATGCAACGAAGCCTTCAGCCCTCCGCGCAGCCTGAAGTCGGGCGGAGAAACACCACGCTGTCGCGTTCGACGGTGTCCATTGATGAACATCGAAAGTGTTCCCAGCTTTTTTAAGAGCACATTCTTTTTTTTCAATTTTTGGAGGCCATCGCTATTAGGTTGGAGTTTTCTGATCATGCTCCTGCCCGTTTTGTTCGGGGAAAACGATGTCTATGACAGCAATATTAGGATATATATGGGTATATTATAAATTGGCATGGAAATGACAGTAATTGGCGAGGTGGACACGTGACATGTCCGACATTCCGAGGTCGACCAGGGACTTGTGGTTCATCCACAGAGCCTCATGTCAAATGTTACTTTCATGGCAGAAAGAGTCACAAGCGCGCAATGCTTTACTCGTGCTTGCACACGCCATGTTAAAAAATATTACCTTTTCAATCTTCAGTCCTACCTTGTCCTACATGGTTGTGCCCAGCACATCAGACTTGGACATAAGCTCCCAATGAAGCAAACACTGATGTAGACGTTGACAGACTTTGAACTCCTTGGAGAAGACCCTGACCACTCTCCCTGCCATCCAACACCTGGGATCATCTTCCCCAGAGGAAGCCAATCCATCAGGCCGCCACATTTCTCCAAGATACCCCCACTTGATTTCAGCAACGGCAGGAAGATGGTTGAACAGGGACTTGAAGAGTTCTACCCACACTCCATCAATCTTCATCAATGGTTTTATGCACAGGCACACATCGCCAGTCAAATCCGATGAAGAAGGCTTCGGGAAGGAATACTATCAACACGAAAGGCATGGTACTTTTGAGGGACATTCGCACACACCCACAGACAGCATTACAACAACCTTTGCGAGAAAACACTGTCAAAACCACTGATACAGTATGCTGATAGCCCCTTGGCTGCTTCTTTTGGACCCCTACCTTAGCCGACAGTCATCCGGGCTAAATGCGAGCATTGTGTGTGTGTGTGTTGTTTGATTACAGCAAAAACAGCTTCAAAACTGGACAGTTGCTAGCAGCTAGCAATTCTTGCCCTCAGAGTGGCCTAGCATACAGGTAGAAGTGCGTAAGTGTAAGCAAAGAAACAGGCGCACAGCAAGAAACTTGGGCCCAGGGCTTCACAGGGCTTCACTCATATGTGTTTGCCGACGGCAATTGAGCGCCCTGCCAGGTGCCTTTGGCGACCACACAGACGTCTGGCTCGGCACGGCAAGTATGGCACAGAGTCCTAGTCCAACCCAAGCCACTTTGGTTTCGGCCAGCAAAAGAACTCAACATGCAGAGATGTTTGCAAAGCAGGCAGCAATCCTGCACTGCATCAGCCTGCCATGACTTGATTTCTGCCCGAATTGCTGTAGTCGCACTGTAAATCTGTTGGAAAAAAATAGTATGTGCGTGTACTATTAAGTTTTGTGTGACTTGTGAGGACTGCTCCCAAGGCTTCGGCTTCCGGTTTTTGTTCGCTCTTCGCTCCCCATGCGCAGCAACTGCTGAGGCGGCACGATCTCAAGCGCTCCAGGGACTACCCTGACTTCTACGAGGGGTCTTGAGCTCAATAAACCTCACTCCCGCTGCCGGTCCAGCACAGGAAGTGTTACTGTAAACTATAATGTACAAAAATAAACATATATATATATATATTATATATACATACATATATATATATAAGTTATATAAGTCATGTCAAGACCAGCTTTGCAGCTACGTCATGCAAGCAGTCTGGACACTGCACAAGGTAGGAGCTAATCTAGAAAGGGGTCACCCGCACAACTCTTGCAAAGCTCCTTGCCAAGCTTGGTGCACCTGGATCTATTGAATCTATTGGACTCCGGCTCCATTTTGGCTTCATAAAGGGCAAGGCAGCTGTTCCTTTGGTTGATTCAATAGCGAATCGGTCTCATCAATCATATTGTGGTGCCATTTGTGTTCTTTCTTGGCGATATTGCAACCTAACCTTTACTCAAGCGATGCTGTCCAGCGGATTCCAGCGGGATGTCTTGTCAGGTAAAATGTAAGTAAGAACTACAACTTAAAAAGTGTTTGTGCATTCCATGAAGGCCCCTGAGACAGCTTCAAAATGCCAACACAAGAGCTTCAACGTTGAACACATCGAAGATTGCGTTGACACCAAACAGCTCAGCTCAGGTCGGAAACGAGCTGTTCGCAGAGCGCCACTTCCTCAGCCCTTTTGCAGATTGGTCGTGGCTGTCGCTTGATGGATGTGTGTCCCACATGCTTGTACACCCTTGATACAGCTCGTAAAGCGAAAAGCGGACATGAATTCACATTATATACTTTGGGGAACAATCTAACACACACACACAGAGACACCCACCTGACTGAGCTTCCCTTCCTATTCTTTTGCTCGTGCTAGCAACCAAGAGGGCTGATGATCGTCTAAGGCAATCCCCTAAAAGCAAGTAATTGGAACGGGAGCTTCGCAATCCAAGATATTGCCAACCAACAGTCTGACGAGAAGACATCCTGTCGAGGTTGCGCAGTTTTACAAAAAAAGCAACTCGGGCCAGTTACTGTACCAGTTTTTACATATCAAGGATGCGTTCCAGGCACTGCAAGCATTGCAGATACCTTTCTTCAGGTTCAACAGGTTCAAACGCCCACGTGTCATATGCGCAAGCATCTTGCCGTGCTCAGTCGACTGAGGATGAGTGCTCTCCTGGCTTTAGCGACCCTGGTGTCGGGAGCCCAAGACGTGAAGCCTTGCAGATGCTGTGTCGGGTGGAAAGACGGAAGAAGTGTGACATTTCTCAATATAGAATATTGAGTCACAGAACAATATGTATTCAATATTTTGTTTTACTTCATGAACAATAATTGAACAATATTGAACATATATATATATATATACAATATTTCTAGAATATAATCAATTGATGCAAATTAGGTCTCACTAGTTGACTCGTAAGTACTTGTGGATCCTGTAGCTAGTCAGTCAGATGAACCTGGTTCAATTTGGCCCCACAGCACTTAGGTGATTTTAGATAGGCGTGGCTACCCGTACCAGAATGCTGCGGGTATCATTACGCGGGAGCCCCGGTTTGGTCACGGAGTGCTGCCAAGGAAAAGCATCACGCTCACAACACTCACACCGCTCAAACTGGCTGAATGTCATGCCGTTGCAACTGGTGATCTTTAAGTTTGGTTTCTGTCCTGTTTGGTTTCCTCTTTGCGCCCAGGTTCTCCGAAGATAATATCAATATCTCCTGCGGCTTGGAAGGACGGACCCACGGACCCGAAGTAGACGAACGGAACAAAGGGCATCGCTACTAGCAAGGACGCGATGCCCTTTGTTCCGTTCGTAGCTTCTTGCTCCGTAGTAAGGCCAGGAGCCCCTAGTAGCGTCCTTGCTCCTAGTAGCGATGCCAGGAGCCCCTAGTAGCTAATGGATGTCACATGAATGTCACTGACCAGGGCACGACGTGACCAGACGTGAACAGATTCGGTGCACGGCACACAAACGCCAGCCGTGATGTGTCCAGTTTCACCGTCCAGTCCATTTGAATGAGGTTGGACAATTGGACAAGTAAAATGATGTGAACAGGCAAAACAGGAACATGCTTTAATGGCTTTCTATAGACATAGGTAGCCAGCATGGGTTTGGAACATTCAGTTGTGCAGGGAGAGAAGTGGCCGTTTGGCACTGAGAGTCTTGTTGGTTGGTGCTGTGGGGAGTGTGCCCTTTTTGAACACTGAGAGGTAATCCTCATTGGGAGGGTCGATACAGGCGTTTCTGACTAATTGAGGTTTGGACATGAAGAACTTACAAGACCTATCGCCTTCTGCCAATGTGCGTTTTTGAGGTAGCATCCAACCTATTTGTTCTTAAGATCCTTTGTTGGTTGTCGTCGGATGTCTTCAGTGAATTCTCTAAGCTGACCATATGTCATGATTGGACACATGCACTGAAAAAAACACACACTTTAAACGACACATTCAGGGTATTTCAGGGCCATTCACCGCATTCAGGTCCCAGTCTTTCGCAAGAATGGAGCACAGGGCACTGTGTGCTGCAAGTGCGCTGGGAATGAAGCCTCGGTCTCCTTCACCGGTGGTTCCGCCCGGTGTCGATGTGCAAAGATTGACAAAAGACCGGTTGGCTCATTGGTCGACGGAACCTTGGTTCATGCAAGTGGCTGCAAGTAGCTTGCTCGATGTGCTGAGTTGGGTTTCTTACATTTTTAGAAGGCGTTTACCTTCTTTATCTTCTTTTCACCTGGACACCTCATGACACCTCACGACATTCGTGGCAGGTACCGCACAGAAGGACTCTCAGCGGTTGCCGGATACGACTTCACCGCTGTGGAGGTCCGAAGGGTCGATCTTGAGCCTGATGTGCAGGTACAGCCAGATAGCTGTTTTGATTTGTTTTGCAAGGAAGTGCGCAAGGGTGAACACACAGCCAACTCATGGGATGATGAGATGAAGACAAGTCTTTTGCCGCGAAAGAACGCACCACTGCTGCCACTGCTTGCTGTTCCCGTGTCTGCTAAATTGAGTGGATCAGGCTTCTCAGTTTAGGTAGGACCTCTTTCCAGCGTGTGGGTGGCACACTTTGCCTTCTTCCGGTTCCGTTGGAAGTGCCTTGGACTTGGAAGTATCCACCGCACGACAAATCGTGCGATCCTTTTAATCAGAGCTTGCATGACCTGTTCAGCTCTACTTGTAGATGCGTTCTGAGATTCTGGTTTGGATGTTCACTTACTTGTCTTGTCTTTAAAGAGATTTAAAGAGACAAGTGTTTACTACACCTTGTTCATACCATGTGGACAAGAAGTCCAGTTTGATGCTTGTGTTGCGCCTATCAGATATGAGTTATGATCGCAAGCAAATGAAAGCAAGTCGAATGGCAAGCAGCTTGTATGCTGAGGTGCTTCTATTCTTCCAAGACGTTTTCGCCTATTCTGAGCAGCTGGCAAAGTACTTAATCAAAAGCATCCGTCTTCTGTGCAGCCTAGTCGGCCTAAAGCACGACATATTTTTCCACCGGGGAAGGTTCAGACCTTTTTTTACAAAACAAAACGCCGAGAGTCACCTGACACGCGCTCAGCATCGCCCAGCGACACCCGGCTTGCTTGGCCCGTGAGGTGTTGAGACATCCATACAATGACCGAGAGCGACAGCCCCACCTTGGCGACTTGGAGTGCAGATGATGTTTCTCACATCCTGCAACCGAAGTGAAGCGTGAACAAATCCATCCTTCAACATCAACCTTGTGATAAACATGTGATAACCATGTGAGATAAAGCGAAGATTTAGAACAAATCTATCCTTCAAGATTCATGAACCATGTGAGACAGGAAAAGCCCAACAGGCGAGCCAGACCCCGGGTGAGCCACTAGCTTAAAATCCACTCAAAGCCTCCAACGGTTCCCCCAAGACCAATCCCACCGCCGGCCGCCCTCCGGACGGGACGGGACGGGCGCTGGCCGCTCTCAGTCTATGCTGGAGAAGGCCATCATGCGATGCGCAAGACGCAGGCGTTGCAGATTTGCAAATCTGCACTCAGGCCTTTTTGTTACACGAAAATGAGAAATATGATAGGCCTGCTTCTTGAAACGAAAGAAAGACCGCTAAAGGCTCGAAGCACACTGCCAAACTGAAGCAAACACATCTGACCCATGCTGACAGACGAGCAAGACTTGCTTACCCACATGTTTGTGGAATTTTGTTGTTTAATTAATTAAATATTCATTGGTCGCTGATTACATTTTGAGGGAACTGACAGCAAGTCGGATGCTCGAGCAATGTTGGCAAATAGCGGTACACAAGATCCGAAGAAGCGGAAGAAGTTCAAGATTCGGAAGCGCAAAGAAGATGCAGTCGAATCGGTATCTCGGTGTGACGAGGCCCCAATGCCAAAGAAGGAATTGCCCAGCAGTTTTCTAGATTCCGGCGAGTCTGGCACTTTGTTGCTTCGAAGATGTGGTGGAAGTTACCTGGAAAAAAGAAATTTTCGAATTAACGAAACCATTGGCGAGATAGGATGGTTGTGGACTCTTTGGTATGGTATTACAGGCCGATGGTTGGTTGTATCTGAACAGTCATGTGGTGCGCTCAATGCCCAGGGCATTAAGCAGTCCGTCTTTGATCAGCATGTAAACCTTGCGATTGTTTCAGCCTTGCTTCTGACTGTTGAGATCCCTTTGGCACTTGAGTTTGCCAGTGATTACCTGGAAGAGGGATCGACCAACAGTCTATTCAATGGTGCGGTTGCTAAATTGCTCAACCAAAACATTGAAGGGGAAGAGTGGCTTGATGATTGGATTGGCTATCTTGAGGAATTTGGCTTGTTGTGCTACGGATTTGCCTCCCTATGCAATTTCACTGCAGTCTTACTGTGCTGTTTTATTTTGCTTTCAGTGATTGAGCTGCAAAGCGACGTGGCCGTTGTGGGCTTTGTCAAGAGCATGGGTCGGTTGTACTCAATTCCTTACGTCTTTTGGGTGGTTGGCTCCTACCTGCCCTTTCCTCCCTTGATAGTGAGATCGCTATTGATGCTCCGCACTTGGACTTCCATCGGCTCCAGTTCTCTCATATTTACCGTCATGACATTTTTTGGGGCTGCCTTCATGGCTGTGTCGGTCAAACGCACGGTGAACACTGTTTTGAACAAGGAAAAGTATGGTAAGAATGCGAGGCTGATGTTCGTGCATATTTGGCACATGTTGGGGCTCACGCTGGCCTAAAAGACTGCATATCACACTTACAGTGTCAGGATGAGAAGGGTGTTGTCGTTGTTCCACTGTCCAGTTTCACAGAAATGATGGTGAAGCAAGAGTACGTTCGACAGATCGCCGAGCGATTGCGCTTGAACGAAGCGGAGATGCTTGCGTGGCTGTCGGTCATTCTAGCCTCTTGAGGGTTCAAATCTGCCGCACCGCGCACTTCCCATCAAAACGAGAGCGGGACCGACCAGCTTGGCTTGAAATCACTGTGGCAAGGAGCCATCTTAAATTCCTGATATAATGATATACCATGTTTTAATACAATTAGTATATTGTTTTATTTTACGGCTGAAGGCTGAAGTCTTTCTGGGGAGCATTAGATGCTGTAACCTAATCTGGTATAAGATGTTTAACTTGTGTAGCATTTTATGACAAACCGCTAAGTCACAACATATAATTGTGACATAGCAGATGTTTCCTTTGGTCGCAGGACGTGATGGGTGTTCTTAAACCATCGATGATAGGAAGTGGTTTCTCCTCACTTCTTTTCCTTTCTCCCCCACACCGACCATCCTTGAAGGCCATCCATGGAGTTGAAGGAGGATCCTCAAGAGGCCAGCCCAAATAGGACATGGTAGGAAAACGACTTTGCGCTTTTATTCATTCGCACAGGTGCGAATGGTTGTGGTTGTTGTGGTCGTTGTTGTTTTTTTCTTGTCGTCGTCGCTTTATGTTTGGTTTCTTTTTCCTGTTGACATGCTCCTGAGAACTGTTGATCTTCCCTCTAAATGCAGCTTGGAACAACACTCAATCTGAGGAAAGCGGGGCAAGCCATGCAGCGTGTAGCTTTTCGTCATGGGCATTGTAGGTATTGCCGTTCGAACGTGAGGTGAGCCAACTGCCAGTCTTTCTGGGAAATCGCCAGGTGCTTTCGTGCGAAGGCCCAGGAACGCCAAGAGTGAAGATATGTGTGTAGCTTATCCCTGTTGACCCCGTTTGAATAGGTGTTGGTGTTATTGAAGCACACATAAGCACACCTCATTCTCAATGCCAGGACCTGGCTTCATAATTACTGCACTTAGGTTGTCAGTTGCCCAGGTAGCTTCTGGTCAAAACCACTGAAGTCGCAGTCATTTCCAGGGTGAGCAGTCCACTGCTGTTGCGGATCAGTCAAGTCACAACTCAATCACCTGGTTTTGCTTAAGATGATTCTTTTCTCTATGGCTAAATCCCCTTCTGGTAAATATGTTTTAAGGTTCCTTAAGCAAATCCAAGATCACCTGATCACAACACATTGTTTGCCCTGAAGTCCCTCACTCTTTCCAGAAAGAGCCCAAGGTTGGACAAAACGACTTTCTTCTTGTGGGGCCTTTGTGAAGTCCTTCAGTTGGTGCATTCTTTGGCAATCTATGTTGGGTTTGTCCCATTACCTGTAACAGTCAACAAGCAATTATCACTAATTTAGAGAAAGGCCTTTACTAACCATCATCATCCACTGTGACTGGCAATAGGATACAGCCAACATCTATGTACTATAGTTGGTTTTCTTGTGTGTAAACGAGAGTTTGACCCGATGTGCTACTTCATGCCTGGATCATTCTAGTGAGCCCTCAGCGATTCACAGTGGACATGAGGACTCATGGGGGCACAGTCACCCGCCCCAAATCACGGACTGAGGCGCCAGCCACCTGTCCCAAGGGAGAAGACGGAGAAGACCAAGTGGGTGCAGCCGTCAGAACTGCGTCAAAGCGTCTCGAAGTGAGATCCAGAGGGAAGCCAGAAGTAGAGGAAAGTTAATGGACAAGTCGTGAAGAACCATTTGCTTTGTGATTTGCTTTGTAAAGAACCATGCACGGCATGTTCGAATTCTCCGCGTTTGAGTGTTGTTTCTCTAATTTTCTTCAGTTCTGCCCATGTTTCATCCACGGCTGCGCGGCGGCGGAAGGCATGTATGGTGGACACTGACAGTCCGAGCTCAGGGCTGCTCGGTATTCACAGCCGTTTTAGGGGCTGAGCTCAGTCTGGTATTTGGCCAAAGGATGTCCTTGTCGTCCGCTTGGGAGGAGCTGTAGTAGTGGCCGGCCACTCTGGCTTAGAGGTTTTTCTTGAACACTGCGCACTGCTTCCTGGCTAATTACATTGCGCACTTGGTTAGTTTGCTGAAATGCCAACTCAAAACTGTGCAGCCACCCAAGAACTCAACAGTCTACTCTTTGTTCAGACTCAGTTACAGTAATTGGAACAGCGTCCGCCTTGCTCCTCATGGGTTTTGCTGTGATCCCTACCTTTTGGTTGAACACGTCAAGCAACTGGGTGAACCAACGATTCCGACATTCAATATTCGGGATATTTGGACTGACATGGGGAAATGTCTAAATCCAAGGGCAAACTGCAGCAGGCTAACACTGAAGACGGTACTGGTACAGCAGGTTGCTTTGCACAGCCAAGGTCCGGTGAGCCATGTCCCGAGCCCGAAGCCTAACTGAGCCGACCAAGATTCATTCCAAGCTTTTGAAGTTGAGAAACGCTGTCGCTTTTGACTTCTGGATATTTTTGGAGAAGTCTTCCAGAATTGAATCACATCCAGTCAAGAACGCCTGCAGAGCGGCCCTGAATGGCACTCTGAAGCTTGCAGCACCAGAAAAGGCCTAGCCCAGCGCACACTGCAGCGAGTGAAAGTCGGGGCAGCCCAGCCAGGTTTAATGCTGAGCTATGCTGAGCTGCTTAGTTTACCGATGTTCACAGTATCAACTAATAGGATGTATATATAGGGACATGATCTGAGCCAGGTGCCGACTTCTCGCCTGCACGTTCTCAACAGATATGTAATAATAAGTATTATATTAAACACATTGGTGCTGTGTTTCCGCCCTTGCCTTTCCCTGGAGTGCCGGGGCTGATGGCCAGAGGTGAACAGTTTGAGTGCAAACATGTGTTGCGCTCACGTGAACACATTTGCAACAAGGTAGTTGTTTGCATACCGCTTGCATCATCATCCCAAGGATCCCTCGATGAGCAGTTTGAACGCAATGCCGAGAAGATGGAAAGCTACAAGGACAAGCTGCCATGCTTTATGTTTTCCCAGATTTTAGCCAGAGTATCAGTCCAAAATGAAAGCAGCCAAACACAAGGTCAACACTTCAGTGAAATGACCACGACACCAAAAACATCCCAAAATAATCAAATGATAGCAAATGCAATGAAACTGACATGAATGCGCACAATGAAGTAAACATGTTTTCTTTCAACCTTCCGGGGGACTCCCGTGTTAGTTTGGCCGAGCCGCGCCAGGCGCCACGTAGACCGTGCTTTAAGAAGCCGACGCGGGAGGCTGTTGAAGCGACGCGATTGGATGGTCAAAGCAGCTTTGAGTGCGTTGTAATGATCGATCTTAATGAGTAACAGGGGTCCCCCTAGCAAACAATTACTTTATTAAAAGTAGCTGTAGCTGTAGCTGTAGCCGTTGTGGTAGTAGTAGTAGTAGTAGTAGTAGCAGTAGGAGTAGTAGTAGTAGTAGTAGTAGTAGTAGTAGTATATAGTAGTAGTAGTGGGAGTAGCAGTAGCAGTAGCAGTAGCAGTAGGAGTAGTAGTAGTAGTAGTTGTTGTTGTTGTTGTTGTTCTTGTTGTTGTTGTTGTTGTTGTTGTTGTTGTTGTTGTTGTTGTTGTTGTTGTTGTTGTGTTTGTGTTTGTGTTTGTGTTTGTGTTGTTGTTGTTGCTGTTGCTGTTCCTGTTGCTGTTGTTGATAGTAGTAGTAGTAGTAGTAGTAGTTGTTGTTGTTGTTGGTGGTGGTGGCGGCGGCGGCGGCGGTGGTGTTGGTTGGCTTTTCAGTGACCATAACATGTCTTAACTTTAGACATATGTATGTCATAGAGCAATTCTTAAGTCATTTGAGCAGAAACTGTGCCTTTCCTTTTTTTGTGGCCCGAGCCACCCTTTCTGCTTTGTCGCAGCGCACAGCCGTCATGCACGGCTGCAAGGCACGGCTGCGACAGCTGAAGCAGGAGGTTCGAGAATTCTGCGCCCTCTCCTTCGATGAGGTACGCGAGCGTACTTCCAGATTGGTTTAAGGGAAAATCAAAGAAGAACACCCAACGTTTCGTGGGTGAAAACCTTGGTTTCCTCCAGAACCCATTAAAGCCCATCCAATGAGCTTATAACCTCCCCTGTTCTGAAGCACAATAGCAGAGGTGCACCATGGCGTACTTTCACATAGGCTCATGAAGCTTCAGAAAGGGCCATAGTGGCCCCGGAGTGTTCAATTGAAGCATGTCTGGGCCAGCGAAGACCCATGTCAAGAATAAAGACTCCAAGCTATTTTGGCCGTTTAAATTAAATAATATGTATATATATATATAACAGCTGCTTCAGTCATGGGACACGCTTGCTGTGGCACTCGTTGATGCCAGGTGGATCCTTTCCAGCAACAAGGCCATGGCCGTGGCGGCGTGCTCGATGGACCTTCCAAAATGCTGCAGAGTTCCACCGGTCCACATGAGTCCCTACGGAAAGTTTGCTGAACTCTGCGTTACTCCTGGAGGTCCTTGTTTCATCTTGTGTCCGTCTATTTTTAACATCTCCAAGATGTGCTGGCTTTGCTCACGCTTGGTTCCCCTTCCATGTTGAGACGGTCCTATCTCTGGACAATTCCCGACGTGCAGGTTTGACTTGTCGCATGCTCGCATTCCTCAAGAGTTTGAGCTTGGACCCTGGATACGCTCCAAATAGCATCAGCCAGCCACAAATTGCCAGTTCCGCACCAAAAGTCAGAAAAGTAAAAGTCAGAGACTGTTTGGGCCACTGAGGCCGAGTTTTGACTTGGCAAGAAGGCCCGCCTCTGCGCCGTCAGAAGTCTTTGAGTGAAGCATGGCTGGAAGCATCAATGTTCAGCTGAACAAAAGCTGCAAAACCATTCATTTGGCGTATCATGATGTTTGAGATTTTTTTTGGGTTCCAGACCTCAAGATCGTTCATTCAACCTCAGCTAGCCAACTTCTCTGAAATGGTTGTTCATTGAACCTTCCCAAAGCCCTTCCCCTTTCGCAGGCGAAGTCCGTGGGGAGATGCCAGCCTATGAGATGCTGGCTGTGCCAAAGGAGCGGCCCCAGCTTGGTGGGGACAGCGTAAAGCAGCATCATGTAGCATGCGCATGCACATGATGTTCCTCTCAAGACGGGGTTCTGCATCTCGAGGTGTCGATCCCTGCACCCTCATTCAGGCTTAAATGTCTGCCTGCCTGCGGAAAATCTGCCTGAACCAGGGTTTGTCCTTAAAAACAGCCTGCGGGCAGACATCGTGAACCGTTATTCGGCAGATGCTGCAAATTACTTGCAAAGCACCTAAGTTGCAAATCTGCAGTTTTGAAACAATGTTCGACATTTCAATTCGGGCGAGAATCGGCGTGATTCGGGCGTGAATTTGTGTGATCGGGCGAGAATTTGAGTGATCGGGTGGATTTCGTAGACTCAAGTTGCATTGCATGTATTCATCACTCGCAGAATATATCTATAATGAACAAAAACACACTCGGGCGAGAATTCCAGGGTCGGGCGTGAAACCATGTTCGGGCAGAAATACTGCCTGAATGGATTCGGGCTGGAATTCTAGCCTGGACGAGTTCCTAGATCCAAATTAGACCAAACACGACAAAACGCATCAGCACGCCAGGAATCATGCACCAATAGTAACGCGGAATCTCTCGAATGTGACCCGTCCTGTTCATTCGAACTACCACGATTCCACTGAAAGCTGGGACGAGTCGGGCAGACCAAAAGGACAGAACTTTGGTATACTTAGATACTTTGGTCCCTCTTTGCTGCCATACTTGTACCAGCTTGTCTTCTTTGTTGCCTAAGAAACCCACCTTGCAAGCTAGATGAATGTCATCCTTGAAGGCCCTTGGCCTAAGTAGAAAGGATCATTAGAGCACCATCGAAAAGCGATCGTCGCCGCCTTGGGGTGTCCGTTGACCGAAAACAGGTGGACATGCAGATGTTCAACGTCGTCAGTTCCAAGGCGGATGAGCTCATCGAGAAGCACCGCTTCCGCCAGGCAACGGCTCAGTGAAGTGAACGCGTTGAAGACATTGAAGAGATCCCGTAAAAGCGGCTTCAGGAACTGTTGTTCAGTTAATCTTTTGCTGCCCAAGCCATCGTGGAGATCCTTTTTGGGGTGACCTGGCTCGCTCAAAAGGATACTTTTCCTCTTGCAATCATTCCGAATTGATCCCCTCGAATCTCCCTGCATGGCAGGCCTATGAGCTGTTGTGCCGGATGCGGCCCTGCTTTGAACCTGACGAAGGCCAGAGCGGCAAACGAGACAAACTTGGATACACGAAAAGTGCTCACAATGCTGTGGCCGCTGTGGTGGCCCATGCCCGCTACAAGCTCGCATTTGGATGCATTTGGTATGTTTGAGATCATCTATGGAATCATCAATAGCTGGAAGCTACAGGGCTTCTTGCTTCTCTTGGAGCCAGGAGTCTGTCCGTTTGTCCCTGTCTCCAACTTGAAGCATGTTGGACTGTGGCAAACAAACGGTCTGGCTGTTTCCAAGCTTGGTCGAAAATGGTCGACAGTGGTCTCCCAGCGTTGGCATGGCACTCCAACATGCATGGGACGAAGACGCCCTGCGGCCAAGGAATCGATCCCTTTTCTCTACCAGTGTATGTGCATTACAAATCATTATATAAATATGTTTACATATGTTTACATGTTTTTCCATATGCGCCATAGCTGAAGAACAGGGCGTCAATTAGGTTTCAGAAACCATTGTGCCGGTGTTTTCTTTGAAGGAGATTTAGTTCAGACTGACAGATGTGACAAGTGGGAGCAATCGTCGAATTGACCAGTATCACAGAAGCAGCAATCCAACACACTTCATATTTGTTCGCTGCTTGTGCTCCCCTCCCTTCATCCAGGTGCAGCGGGCACAGTGACACAGGCTGAGTCTAGCCCTAAAAAGAAGGCATCCAAACTGCATTCAGGTTTATTTTCAAGTTGCTTGATGTTAAACACACCCAATTGTGGGCGATCCACACATGGCTGAGGCAAAGGTTTGGGGAGACGAGGATCAACTTTCCGATACGGACGATTTTTTATATGTGATTTTTTCGCCGTGGATCTAGACTAATCAAAACATACTTTCTCCACAAAGTCATCTATGAATGAAGCAAGAAAGCACATCGTCAAGACATTTATCAGGCAAACATGTTTATTCCTCGTGTTGCAGCGAAACACAACACAAGTACTACATGACTCAATGGCCGTTGCCGTTACACCATTGCCCTGAGGTGGCTGAGGTGGTTCCTTCCAGGTACGATTCCGGCATGTTGATGTATGTAGTTTTGTGTCTTGTGGACAGTTTCGGGCAACTAGGACTGATAGTGATGGGTCAGGCCTGGAGGAAATAGGAGGAAATAGTTTGAGATAAAGTATGCATGTTTGATGATGTGTGATTATCTTGATTTGTTTGACACCCCAAAACTTTCAAAATGACATGATCCTGTTTACTCGCTATGCTGTGAACTGCGATAAGTCAAGTACACTGGGCGAGACCAGGCTGATATATTGGAGTCACTTGCAGTTCATGGACTCTTCATGTATTCTGGTCTTACGACATCGAACTCGCATGGAGCGGGTGTGCGCGCAGGCCTGCTGTCTCAGCGCCGCAGTGCCAGGAGATTGCGCCATGTATCCACCTGAGCAGCTGCAAGCAACCTGGTTTTGATGTGGGCATAGGAGGTGCAATGCTTCTGCCAACCTCTTGTTGATATTCTTCTCTTCAATGATCCTTGTATGTCACTACCAGTTCATGGAGTTGACAACTTCACTAATGTGTGAGAAATTGACGAAGTCATAGGACAAGTAATTTATGCCAAAACAGGTGGCATTCATGTCTACTGTTTGAGCTCTAACACCATTGTGACTGCATGCAACCTTGCGTAAAGTAGTTTGGCTGAGTTCTACTTTACAAGTAGCGTCGTGCGACTCTTGTGGACAGGAGCCGTGGCTTGATCAGCGCATGAATAAGCACGCAGAGTAAACATGGATCATCGGGTATCAACATCCACTGAACAAGCCTGAATCACTTTTGTTCTGTTTAGCAGCAGAGCTGGACGCCTCTAGCTACTCACTGCGAGGCTGCATCAAAACATATTTTGTCAAAATCTTGCAGTGCGAGCTAAATAATCCTATATACAGGAAACGAACTCAACCCAAAGCCCGTACCTGCAGCCACAGTTCTACTGTTTCATCCTTGTAGGCTGACAATGTTCCATCATTTTGCAGAACCAGAGGGGCCTTCAGGGATTGCTTAGCTTGCTGTGGATCATGGCTGCCATGGTAGCTGTTGATGCCAAGATGGATGCGGCTTCGCACCCTGCTTCGCGTCCCCGCAGGGTGGGGCAGTCGGCGGTCATGGACTTCATGTGGAGGTGGTTGGCCCCTTTGCCACTTTAGAGCCCTTGGCCTTTCATTAGTAGGCCAACGGGGTTGGTAGACGCATGGATTGAACGTCCATGACAATTCCCCCTGGACTTGATAGGATCTAGAGTATGAACGCATGAAACGAGAGCGGGGTCTTGAGGGAAGGTCTTGAAGCATCGCCTGCCTTTGAATAAACCATACTTACAGGGACCACCAATGCCTGGCATGACTCAAAGAGAAGCTGCAAAACAGGCTTGCTGTGACGGCTGCCAACGTCCGGTGAAACTGTGTCTTTGTCACTCGGCGCCAAGAAGTAAAGGGATCACAGGAAGCAGTGTTGGCGTGGAGACTTGGGGGTTTTCTATCCAGGCCTGACGCTTTCTGGTGCTCAGTCTAGTTACGAGCTCCTATTCCTACCCTTGCATTTCAATCGAGAGACCTTAAAGCCAGTAAAAGCAAGCAGATTGCCTCCAGTGTAGTTTTTGCCGGACTGAAAGCAAGGCCAAAAAGTGCATGCCCGTCTGTCTCATGTCATACCCGCCCTCTCCGGTCCGGTCTAAGATTTCCGCATCAGAACCACGTGAGGGCTGGTTGGGACCTCGAATGACCTCCCAGGCGATTGCCTCCCAGCCGAGCCAGTGCAAACTCGGACGCGCGTGGTGATTTTGGTGCATCCCAAGGCCTTGGGGCGATGCCTGGGTCAGTTGCAGACATCCAGAGAGTACATGAGCAGCCGCATTGATTCACCGACATAAAGTATAAAGAATAGCTGGGAGGTCGTGGCGCATTACTTTTTTCACGTCATGGCGCCGCTGAACGAGGTAGGGGGAGCATAAAACGAGATCTCCGGACTCCTGTAGTATAATCAGTGGTGTACTTGTAGGGTGTTTGCAACCTGTGCTATGGCAAAGCCTCCAAAGAGCAATCTGTGCTACGGGAAGGGTCCCAAAGAGAAATCCGATCCACCATTGTTTCTTTCTCCTTCTCGCCAAAAAATAGACCATCAGCCTCCAGTGACAGCTCTGACACAACCTCGGAGTGAAAAAATGTACGTTCAGCTGTTCAGCTAGGGCAGAAAACGGCGTCGGAATCACATCCGAACGACACCCCCAACTGGCATTCCCTCGATCTGTATGATGCGGTGCCCATGTTGCAGCCGAGCTTTGCCCTCCCATGCCTTCTCAACATGTTTTACAAGTAAGAAAGAGGTTAGGCCTGCCACAGGGCCACAAGGCTGTCCGCATGGAACAGCGTGCGCCTGTAGATGGGGTTAAGAAAAGAACGACGGGTATTAGTATTGGACAGAACTCACTTGGAAAGCGGGACGCCCCACAAGCACCAATATCATATGAGTGGGAACGGCATCGTGGAAATACGGCCATTACATGTAGTAACATGTACACTCTGACTCACTAACATGGAAGTGGAAAATGGGGCCCTGGAAGACTACTGTCCTCTACAAACAGGCGGTTCAAAGTATGTTAAATAGAAGTCGTTGCTCACCGGAATTACAGAGGGCTTGCGGATGTTTTATTTGTGGCTGAGTTGAGCAACTGTTTCGTGAAGGGTGAATTCGTCAAATGTCAACTATTTCTAGACCAAATTAAGCATGACAACAGAGCTGTTTGTTGCTCAGAAGCATTCCAGGTCTCGGTTTCACTTGGACCTCCCCAAGCCTGCTTGTTGGTTTGCCACTTCATTGCCACTTGACAGGAGTTAAAGCGAAAACTTGGCACTTTACCCTTGTTGAGGCAGGTCTGATCGATCGAAATCACAAGCATAAGGAGGAGGCTGCTACTCCGCACGATGCACAGACCAAGAGTGTTGAACATGTTGTTTTGTTTTTTTGTTTTGACTTGGAGGCTGTGTTTACAAGACATCATCATCAAAGAAGGCAAGGAAGGGCAACTGCACGTCCGATTCTTTTTGAATTATTACTTTGGTTGGATCACCTCAGTCCATCATGAGGCCACGACATGCTCGCTCAACAAACAGGTTTTTACTTACCGCTGCAGGCAAACACAGTTTAAAGACAATACAAGTAGAGAAGGACCCAACAGGTGTTTTAGAGGATGATGAAGGTGTATTATGGTAAAATCTGTTTGCATTGGCCACAATCACAATCAGTACTGTATCTCAGTACCAAGAATGCTGGGCCAAACTATTTCGTGACGCAGGTGAGTATTTCCCCGAGCCCTCAGAGGATCCAGACCTGCACCAGCAGCTTTTTGCGGATGACCACCAGCCACTTGGCGAAACACAGAAAGCATCTATGCTATAGGATTTTTAAAGCATCAAGAGGCCTTTCATGAGGAAATCAAAAGTGCGCAACAGTAATATTGAACCGTTTTTTGTGCAGATTGATGTGCTGCCAAAAGAGACTGCATGTCAATATCAAGACGATGCAACTAAACCGTTGACTGACACGTGCAGGTCGTTTTTCTTTGAGGCCGATGTTTCTTTGCCCCGGCCCCGATGCCAAAGAGCTGGCCGTCACGGAGGCCACAGAAAGCCAAGTCTACCAGATAATCTTGAGGGAAGGAACAAGTTTGAGCAATCCTGAAGAACACCTTATGCTGGATATGATCCTATGTATCATATTTTGTTTCCCCAAGCAGTGTAGACCTTGACGAACTTGGCGATTTTGATTCTGCTGAATAGGAGGGCCTTGGGCAATAGTTTTTTGTTTTAATAACGTGTTCATCCCAAAGATGCTGATCCAACATAATATATTGTTGAGTGCGAGATGACTCCTATGTTCATCCCCATTAGCCGTCTAGACGAAACAGAACCATTTTTTGCCCGGCAGTGTATATCGTATTCATAGCGTGCTTATGGCTTCTCCTCAAGCATGGCAGGAAGCACCGAGCGAAAAGGCATCCCTCATTTTCATCGACGGAACGTGGCGGCAGGCCTTCGGTTTACCGTTTCATGGATTCATGCGCCACATGATTTCAATATCACGAAAACACTTGATTTCGTTCTAAGCTCTCAAGATCACCAACCTGTTGGATCCATGCGCGCCAGATCTCCACTCCGTTGCACCGGTGGCTCTCGCAGGCCAAGTCGATGGTCTCCAGGTCCCCGTGGCTGACGGAGCACGTCCAGCGTGCGGTCATCAGGCGGGGAGTGACGTAGAGCAAAGATTAAACTCCTAAGCCACGACCACCTCATGGTGGAGGATAAGACTCATAGTTAGGTTGACTTTGACTATACTCATTGCACATCTACAATGCTACATGCTGTCATTTTGGTATGGGCATGTATGGGTGTGGTGCAGCCTATCCCGTACTTCACCGACCTCTCCATCTTGCACCAGGCCGACAGCAAACAGTGGCTACCGCTTTCGGAAGCAACCAGCCCTGGGCCGAGTCCGGGATGGTGAGTGCTATTGATAGCAGGAAAGCGGGATGAGAAGTGGGGCCATGCATTGTTCCCCCAAAACCAAAAGTCTGTTTCTTCCTTTTCCTCCTTTAAGGAGGAGTTCCAGCGAGAGGGATTGCACCCTCAAACTGGGTTGCTAATCTCTCCAAGGAACTGGGTTGCTTGTCTACCTTGGAGGCCGTGGCTGAGGCATGGAGTAGGGATAAAAGCCTTGAAATACATATCCATGAGAGAAAGTCAAGTGGAGATAGCACAGTGAAGGATCTCAAGCCTTTTGCAAAGTAGAGCTTGATGCGCCTTTGCAACATATGTCCTCACAAAACACCTCGTGGAACTGATAGAATATGATCCGAAACATGTTGCTCAGGCAAAAGAAGTGCAGTAACACTGACTTCAAAGAAGACATGGACTTATGGACCATCTCTCGGACACTCTTGCCGCGAGGCGCTGCTGGCCTTAGAGGGTTCTGGTGGCTCGCAGCTCAAGCAGCTCCTTCTGCAGCCCTTCAGTCGAGCCATGGCAGGGATTCATTGCGAGTCCCAGTGTCTTGAATATGTCTTTTAATGCTTGGAGGCAGTGGGTGTAGGGGTTCGACTAACCACCAGCGAGCGGGAGAGAGCCTAGAGTGCAAGTGTGATGCTTCCTCTACCGGAGATTTTTGGGGATGGTCATGGCTGGAGAACAGTCCTCCCATATTTTTTGGGTTGGATCTTAAGGAAACTTTCTTTGGGGTGGGAGTGAAATGCAAGCTTAGGAGATTAGTTGTTCCCCTAAAATGGATATTTATATAGATATATACATAGTCATCTCCTTTGGGCACTGCTCCTTATGACACTGGAGCAAAACATGATTGAAGTTTACAGAGGCTTGTGGTGGGTGAAGGGTGGCAAGCATGTGGCCGTGCTGATCGCACAAGAGACGTACTGCGCAGGACTCTTTGCCATAGGTACAACGGTGTGTCGCTTTGATTTGCTTTGCGTTTCCAAGTGGTTACAGTGCAATCAAACTGATTTCCAGAAGGGTTATTTCATGTTGTTTCTACTTCTTATACAATCAAATCTACCCTGTAGTATTTCGTTCAGGTTCTATCGTTTCTTCTCAACTCCGCGTGCAACTGAAAACCAAGATGAAACTGATGTCCAGATGACATGCAGAACTTGCTGACATGGCCACAATGTCCCAGCATTTCTTGATGGCTCGGTGGAAAGCATCAAGGATTGCTTTGGAACACGTGGAGCTTCTACAGATTACAGCGCCACCAGGGGAGAACTCCAAGCACCCTTGTGATTCCTTGTGCCCCTTGTGGGATGCAAGGAAATAGAACCGCTGGCCAGGTATAGCGCTGTTATTTTTGACCTGGACCTTGTTTCTCACCATTTATTGGCAGCTGCGCAGCTTCAGGAATGGTCGAAATGCAGTGCTCGTTCATTGGGGACCAGGACAAGAACATACCTTCAGAGCAGACCTCTCAAAAGTTCGATGCAGAGGCCCTGATGTTAAAACGAGAGCTGCGCAGTCTGTACTGATCCACACATATAGTAAAATCTAATCGTGTTTGATCGATCCATTTCTGCTGTTTCTGCGGTGTTTCTTTTCCAGTTTGAGCCAGCGCGGCGCTTCTTACTGTAAATTCTGTAAGGCACAGACACGGAGTCTTTGCAAGTGGATGCAAGTGGCTTTAATGGCTTCCCATACAAGAAACATTGAATAGACCACCTCACAACAAATGAACCAAACTGTATGAATTACTTCACCGGAAGGTGGAACCTCATGTGCGAGCTTGGACCGCAGGCAGCATTGCTGCAGTTCGAGCAGAAAGAGACAGAAGCCAAAGAGGTGGCTGCCCCAACATTTGGATCAACATGCATAGTGAGACAGGAAAGGTCACTGACTGCCAGTGTTTCTGGAGCTCACATGGGGGCGAAGACCAGCTTTTCACCGTGGAGAGTGGAATCACATTGGGTTGCCTCCCTGAGTTTGCCCTTTATGAGGGCCCCCTGGGCTGAAACCCGAGGTGATCGACAGCACCAAAGAGATCTTCTGTTGCTTGGATGCTTTTGATTTCTTTTGCACCCTCCAAAATGGATGGAACAGATTGGACAAGATGGATTATGAACACGTGCACACCCTCTGGACTTTGACATGTGTATTGAAAGATATTGAAAGCGTGTTTGTTGGGGGGCGCTGATGGGGGCTCTTCACAGTAGACCTCTGCACACAACCTGTCCCTCACCATGGATCCTCCTCAAGCACGAGCATCCCGCAGAGAACGGAATTGGTGACAGAACACCAGCAGGCCTGCCTTTCTGGCTGAAAGAACCTTTGCCAAGTTTGCCAGCACAACACGAGCATGCACCGATCGACGGGCAACTCACTCATCCACCGACCCTTTGTTGATCCGGAGGCCTTCTCCGCTGGGGCGAGCGCCAAGTGCCCGAGCGCCCGGTGATCGTCATGGAGCTCTTCCGTGGGACCAGCGAAGAGGCCAAGCGCCGCAGCCAGGAGCAGCGAAGCGGACGGATAGACGTAGTACAGACCAAAATAGCGATGTATTATTTATGGTGTTTTGGTGCTGGTGGATAAGATGTGAAACAACGGCCTGGCACAAAGCTTGGCTCGAGAATTCAGGGTGGTCCGTCAGGAGCTTTCGCTGGGCCGTCCGCGCGGGAGCCGCTGCTGGGTCCGACACCTCCGCGACGTGCCGGAAGGAGCCTTGTGGGAGGCGCTTTGTTTTTTTTTGCGGTGACCGTAGACCGTAGAACTGACAGAGAAAACGAGTAGCAGAGCGGCAGAGCTTTTCTTGGATCGGAGAAGAAGATGTGTGATTTTCATGTGGATGAAGAACTGAGTAGAAGTGACAGTCCTATGGAAGGAATAGAAGATAATAGAAGGTAATTGTTGTATTCTTGAAAGTAGGTGATCTTGATAAGAGAACTCCATGGCATTTGCACTACTCACTACTCCATGTCTTCGGTGTCGTTTTCGGTGTCCCCAGGTGCCTGGGCCGATGCAGCCCGAGGCCGAAGCCGTCTGATGGACAGCCACGGCATGGGCGAAGCCACCGCCGTGCAGTTCGCAGCTTCGGTTCTTTGTACAGCGGGCGAGGCCGGCCGGCGCGCGCCAGCCGGCCGGGGGCCTTTTGCAGCGCGTGCCGCGCGGAAAATGGGAAGAATTTAATGGAATTTGTTTTTAGTTCTTGGCAGATGAGAGTAGGTTTATGTATTTGCCTGCCTGTGGCTCATGCAAGCGACTTGGGCACTAAGGCCCACAGAGTGAAGCCAAAGCTGCCGTGCCAGAGGCTGCGATGCCCCGTTGCTGGAACAACACTGACCGTTGGATTGAATGACTCCTTTTGATGGTTTTGCCTGCATTTCTTGAATCGAAGGAGAGAACATGCTGATGATCCTCTTGTCCAATAGTATCCAACCGTGCACAGCTTGTCGATACTACCAATAGCCCTATATTCTCCAGTTGGTGCTCCGGTATGCCCTGCATGAGGTGTATGAGGGCAATTGAGAACATTCCAGTGTCCAGTCTCAAATGCGAGCAAATGTCGAGAATGTTTATGCAATGATTCCACACACTACACACTCAATCAATTTCTCTCGAACCTTCATTCTCCATCATTCTTCAAAGTCTGTCCAGTCTTCAGCAAAGCCGCTGGTCCACAGATAGAGCATATTGTTATAAGGCTGGGTAAGAAGATAACACGTTCTTCCGCCTGGAGTATCTTTACATATCTTTACATACTACGTATATGCTGTAGATGTTTCATGTGCAGTCAGCTTTGATCCATCGCGACTCTCCGTGCCTTCGACCGCCAGAGGCGACGAGTCCGGCGATCCATCGCGGCGTTCCCCCATCGGCCCGCCTGCCGTCGACCAGCGCAGGCCTCGAATCGCGTCTTTCGTCCGGTGTTGACGTGACTTGCGGCGAAAGATGGCGAAAGCGGCCGTCCAACGACGCCAAAGAACAGTCCGAAGCACAGTTGTTCTTGACAGGAGAAACGAAAGCCAAAGCGGCAGGCAGGGCCGGCAGGGCTTGGTTTTGAAGTTGGGATGCATGTGGGCCAGGTCTGACGACCTTTGACCAAGTTGCACATGCTAATTGGGCTAATTGGTTATGCAGATGGCTAGTTTCTTTCAACGGTACTCATGCTATCCCGTGCCACTGCTAGTTGCATAGCCGCGCAGGTTTGGCAGGCCAGGTTAATGTGGCATTGTTTCAGAGGTGTCAGACGGTGTCATAGTGAGAAATTGTTGAGACACTTAGACAGACATGACATAGAATGATCTGGAAAAAAGAGCGGCAGCGGTTGATCTGCCTCCCGAGATTCACAGTGCGTTTTTGTTTTACATGACATAGAATGACTGTAGACCCCAAACGGCTGCTGGATCACCCCGAAGCTGCGAACTTCAGGTCGTCATGAGAAGAGTGCGGCGGGACAAGGAGGCGAACGGGGATGGACCTGATGGCTTGTAGATGTGTTCCATTGTTCGGCACCCGGAGATGTTTGGGAACAGTGTTTGGATGTTTGTCTCGTCTCAGTTTCGACATCGACTCGTTTCGGGCACTGGATGCCATTCGAAGCTCGAAAAGGTGGAAAGTACCTTTGCCGTGTGAAAGTGGGCATCGAAGAGGATGTGACATTTCAGGCCGTCTGGACGGTGGGACGGTGCACGGTGTCAGCACGGTCGGTGTTGACTGTACCATTGCTTTTCTGAGGGACGTATACCGTATAAATGTCTTATGTTCTACAAGCAGAGCTGAGAAAATCTATACACCACAGACCATCCTGAAAAGGAGTAATTAATTTGTAATTATATATGTTTCATGAGTTTCAACTCCAGAGTTTATTCGTTTCATGTGTCTTGGTTCATAATAAGAATTTACTCTTGATTTAATTCTGTTCATTTGGGTTTGCTGGCCTGGTATTTCCAGGAATTAGCTCCAGAGTATAGTAAGTGCAAAAGGTGCCCAGTCTCTACCACAAAGACCATCCTGGTCGGTTGGTCGAAGTGCCTAGTACCTTTGGATGTACATCGAGTGACTATGATTGACTCCCATGTCTTTTGCACAGCCGCTGGCAGCATTGCGTTGGCTGCGTTGGCGCTCCCCAAGCCGACCTTTTGGCAACTCGTGTTTTGCAACTCGCCGTGCAACCTGAATAGCATCCAACATCCCAACACCTGTCAGGAGATTAAGGAGTCTTGGAGGTTAGGCGTCACACATTCGATGGAATTCTCCCAAGATCACTTAGTGTATCCTCCATCGAATTCCTCCCTCGAATTCCCAACATCCATCGTTCGTCAGCAGGTCTGCCGGCGCATCATCGGTCCTGGTGGCGAGAACATGAAACGTCGCTTTTCTCTGGTGGAGAAACGGCTCTGTTGGGACGATCTCATCTCACCAAAACGGGTGATCGAAAAGAAAGCAGTTCAAAAGCCAAGGTCCAGGAGGTTGAGGAAGAACATATTTCTTGAGCGGTTCCACGTACAATTATATCAAGAGTGCGGTCTTTTCGAGTCAAGAACAATTGAGCTTGGAGCTAGATTTGGGACATTTGGCAAGTGGTTTTCAGAGTGCCTGAGGCATCATCGAATCGACCGGAAATGGATCAGTGAAGATCCGTTTGAGAGGCCGAGGATCTAAGCCGGGGTGCCCATTTGGTCAGAAGTCTCAGAAGTAGAGTTGGAAGATCAACACTATAGACTAGCAAGCTTTGCGCTTAGCGCTTGTTGGAGATCTTTTGCGACAATGGCCCCAGGGCCCTATGATTCAATCATATTCAATCCCATGTCGGACACGTCGAGGCATGTTCCACCTTTCGGGGGTTGCTCTCCAGAATCAAACGCGGAGCTTGAGGGATTTGCGAGACAAGGTATTTGGAAGGCCCAGAACACAAGGAGTCGAATGATGACCTGATGCTTTGCGTCAGTGCCACCAACAGGCCAGGGTCCCAACGCCAAGAAGTGTGGGCACCTTTTGCACTTACTTTACTTGTTCCTTTGCAAAGAGAGTTGATACATTACGCTGTCCACACTGCCACTCAGACTAGATCTTTCTGAGTCGATGGCTTGCTTGGTGAGAAGTGCACAGGGATGTTGGACTCTGAAGCACACATACATTCCTCTGCACTCTGCCGCGTCAGGCGCTCCTTTGAGAAGGCTGCGAGCCTTGTTGAAGGTCTCATCACTTCGGTGCAGCAGGCGCCATGACTTCACTCCAGACACCTCGTCAGCGGCCAAAAAGGCAACCCTTTTTGGAGTGAAGCTTGAGACGTCCGACAGATTCCAGCATCTACAGGCATACACCGTTGTTTCAGCATGTGTATCAAGGCAAACTTGAAACTTGGATGAATTTGGAAGACTGGAGATGCTTAAGTGCTCCCCATGAAAACCATTGAAAACCTCGTTGTGGCCATCAGGACTATGTGGCTTTTTGCCAGGCCTGGAAGACCTTGGTATGAAGCTTTCACAGTGGATTGTGTTACTCGTATTTGCGTTATTTGAGTAGAATATGCTGTATAACAATTTCCTTGTATATCCTTGTTAGTTGAGCATGTATACAGTATGTTGACAGTATGTTTGAGTAGAGCCAACCAGATTGTGTTCTGCATAAGGCATCCGTCCCTGCGTTCCAGGGACCCCGTGCCGAGGCACGGCGCTTGCCGGTGCCATCCTTGTCGGTGCGGCGTGAGGCCCAGCGCTCCCGCTGAAGGTGCCGAAGGCGCAGCTGAAGGTAGAGGTCGGGCGGACTGCAAACTGGGGTGCATAAGGAATCATACTGAATTATATATATTATATTTTATATTTATTATATTATATCCAAGTATATATCCATGGATGGATTGAAGGAGCAACGTTTGGACCTGTTTGGGTACATTAAGTTTGACTGGTCCTAGCCAAGAAGCGTGCCTTTGTTCTTGTTCAGTCCAATGGGCAAATAAAACCGTTTCTGTGGCGTCTTACTGACTTGCCTTGCATCACAGCATCAAGTGAATGAACAAGCTTCGTAAAGTAGAAAATTGTGTTTTGGACCGAGATGTAACAAACGAAATGGTGCAGTTCCAACAACAGGTGTTGTTGTTCGACAATTTCTGCTTCCGTAGCGAGGTGTTGATTGAGTACTATGTCGGATCAACTATCACTACCGTGCCGTGCACTGCACTATATTCCCACTAACGATCGCCAGCTGCAAAAGACGGGTTGGGTTTCTCCACAAAGTGAAACGAACCGGTTGCAGATATAAGAATTCTAGTCTATCTATTATAGTCCTTGCTGCAATTGCGTGTGAAAGTTGCTGTTTTCGGATATCATCGGATAGTATGTACTGTATGCTACTGTAGTATTTACTAGTAACAGTATATATATATATAATATATATATATATTTATGTTTGCTCAATTCGCTATCTTGGCTAATGACACCAGATGTGACCATCCAATTTCTCGGCTCTCCCACTAATTTAAGCTGGCAGGTCGCCCACCTGCCAGCTTTTGGCCACGCCGCTTGGAGTGATGGATTTAGATCTCCCAGAAACACTGCGCCTCTTGGTGAATCCCACAGAATCTCAAAACACAGCTCATCTTGTTCCCATCTACCGATGGCTGGTTTCATCTGGATGATTTGGTCCAAGAAACTTTCTGCTTCGACCGTCTGCGGCCCATCAAGTCGGTGTTAGGATGTGTGTGTGAGAGGTCTCCCTTTGGGTTCCCGTGGGTCTGTGTGGAGATGCTCTGAGGTTGGAGATGCCTTGAGATTTTCTCCCCCGACTTGGCTGTGGCCATGGTGTCCAGAAAAGCCGGGAGGCTACAAAGACACACTCAGCGCATTTGTTGGCGAAGGCTGGCGATGAGCAGCTTTAGGAATGTCAAGGAATGCATGGCAATGGCGACTCCAAAAAGTCTTGCCAAATAACTTCCTTTTAAGAGCTGGTCCGTTCTAGATTCGTTTCAAGGAAGATGTTGCTCAACATGGGTCAGTGGCAAGACATGTCCTTAGCTAGTGTGAGTGTACAGGCCCAACGCCTGCCCACCCGCAGTACATGTCGTTTTCGCCCAAGGCGTCGACAGTATAGTTCGCAGAGTTGCTTGATTTTTATGTACAGATTCACTGAGAGAGGCATTTCCAACTCTCAGACCCTTGAGGCCTCGCATTTTGGGCATTCAGGGGCCCCGGATCCCTGCAACCCTCACCTGAGCCGTTGGATTGGAGGGTTTGTTGCGCGGACAGATGTCTTGTGCGACCCGGGTAGCAACCCCGGTGGGACGAGAGTCGAGCCGACCATCGTTCCTGGACCGAACCTGGCAAGCTCTGGGGCGAGATGGTTCCAGCACTTCGCTTGGTGACAGGGGAGCCATGTGTTGTTTGCACAGAAACTCAGTACATCTTGCGAAGTCTTTATGCAAGGAGTTGCGAATTGTACTGCTGATGGCTTCTCCTCATTTTTGTACAGCCACTGGCATTCAGGTCCTTGGGTGCAAACGGAGGGATTTAGGAAGAAAAGCAAAGACTTGCCGAGATGTTGTCGACCACTCAAGCACGATCACACCGGAGGGAAGTGGCTCAGCAATTCGATTCAGGGATGGGGTATCCCTGTATCCACATTGACATGGAACCCTGTGACAAAGCAGTTTCTGTTGCTTCACACTGCCACTCTGTGAGTCAGATATTTATATTCTTAATTCACTCTTAATTTATCTTAATTTGGATCCAGAATCTTTGGGTTGTATGACCATGTATGACCTGAAGTCTAAAGGCGTTCACATGGGACGGCCATGTCCGATCATGAGTCAATTGGATCCCGCTTCCCTGGTGCCGTTCGACGCCAGGGCGAGCTGAAATGGATGCATGGAGAGATGCGCCAGGAGGCCGCTGACAGATTCGTTCAGAAAACATATTTTCTATTATTTTCTGGTCATGGATTCCATTGGACGCCCCTTAGCGCCGTCCCATTGCGGATCATATCATAACCATCCCGGACGCGATGCAACTCACTGTGCAAGGTGCAAGGGAGTTCTCCAAGTTGAGTATTCCTGATCGGATGTTATGTCACTGTTCGAGCAGCTGTAGGTCTTGCTGGAGATCTTGCCCAAGCAATTGAGCGAGGCTGCAGATCAGCTTCCTAGTGGCAACTAGCCACGAGGGATGAGCAATATTACATAATATGACAATCCAAACAAACAAAGTTCATGGGGTTGTTGAGCCAGGAGGGAGCAAGTGGTAGATTCCATGTGTGGCAGACCAAGGCACCCCTTGCGAAAAGTAGTTGTCCAGGAACTCAATGCTGCCAGATTTTCACAGCTTGGCAACCTGCCAAGCAGTGAGCCAGCAGTCCTTGAATCATTCCCAAACCTGGTATTGATTGGGCCAGTATTCAGCATGTGCTGTGTTTTGTATGTTTTGTCAACTCTTCAGGCAAGGACAAGCAGCTGTGTACTGGGAGAGATTTATTCAGGGACACTTGACACCCAAGTGGTAGCAAGATGTGGCAATGGCCAAATGCCAAGTAGTTTGTACATGTTTGTACAAAAAAACAGGACGAGGCCATCGCTCTTAGGTTGGAGGCCATCGCTCTTAGGTTGGATGCCATCGCTATTCCAAGTGGTTTCCCAGTAGTTTGTACTGTGCAAAACCAGGTGAAACCTGCTGTGTGCATTTCTGTGGGCTCCGGAACGAGGCAGTCCTTTTGGGTGTGAGGACATGGTCAAGCCGCAGCGGCCGAGGTTTCAGCTCATCTTAGAGGAGCCGGAAGGTGGCGAACCGGTCGGTCTTTGCGCTGACATGTGAAGCTAGCGACCGAAAGAAGTGTGAAAGTGTGTTTAGTTTAGTCCAATCGAGTTCGGATTTGTCGAAAAATACAGGTTGGTTTAGAAGCTGTATTGCACTTATTATAATCCCAAACAAATCCCTGCTATTTTGTATAGTAAATGTACGTATACTTAGATACTGTAATTGATAATAATTGTAAATGTGGGTACGTGCTGTGGTGGCTTTTATAAGAACCTGCGGCTCTTTGCTTGCTATCATTCAGAAAACGGTAGAACTTCGTGAGGTGGTGCTATGTTCAACCCGAATCACGACGGCTCAGAGGAGAAGCCAGCGACCTAGGCGCAGGTGGTTTAGGTGAACAGATTTTCGCTCTTTTGCGCAAAACGAGAGAGAAAGCTCAGATACAATTCACCATGCAAGTGCTGATCGGTGTTCAGAATGACATTTTGGACCGCAAGCATCAAGCCCGCTGTTAGGGCATGAGACAGGCCTTTTTCCATCAGCGATACGTTTCCCCTCGAAACATAGAGGAGTTGGGATGTGTATACGATTTTATGATTTTCCCGAGTTGCTATTACACTCTACAAGACAAGCAAACCAGCATTGCAAAGCTACAGGGACTGCAAGCTATCCCCCACAAAACATGTGCCGGACAATGCACCGGGAACCTGTGAGCTGAACAAAGGTGCGCGCTGACGGTCACCATCCTCAACGAAAATGACGAGCTCACAAAGAGCGCCGTCGTCGATGGAGGGTTGATATGAGTCGAATATGAGTTGATACTCCCAGGCCACTGTGATAGTTCATGATGGTTCCAGATAGCTGTTGGCCCTCCCTTGTTTTTGCTGGGTTTCACCACGGAGCCGAATGAGGTTGAGGCCCGCAAGGTCAGAAAACACTAGCTTTGGGGGATTGGAGGGGGTAGACAAAGGGAGATACTGCTCCAACATGCACCAATCCTTGCGTCAGGAACATAGCTGCCATGCAGATGAGCCATTTTGTAGACAAGGCGCGTTTTCCAAGCAGATCGCCAGCACTGCACGGTCGCCTTTTTTCGTCGGGTGCCTTCGACGTTGTGTTGCAAGGATCCCAGCTGTAGGCCGATGAATTTGATTCCCCCAACATTGAAGATTCAGAACAGATTGGAGAAGCCTTCCGAGGTGATCAACATTGACAAGATGCGCTTGGGTGCGCATTCCTGGTACGAGGCCAGGTTCATTGCGCTGAGACACGCTTGTGTGTCCACTGTGGCGACTGTGTAGCCAGAAAACGGCCTGCCGTGGCAGACATCCTGGATTCTTTGTCTGAAAGGTCAAGTATTGATGAGCACCGGCGACATTGGTTGGCAGATCTAATATTGTTTCAACACATGGGCTGATGCTCATGTCACCTGAGCAAATCCTTGGCTGTGGAATTCGCACTTGGCCTTGCTAGGCCATTGTGGCCTCGGTGTGTGATGTGACTGAAGATGGCGAAAGGCGCATGGTCAGATGGGCTCTAGCAACAAAGGAAGACCGGGGCGACCTATCACACTTGGCTCGCAAGGTTTGAGCTGCATTCTCCCTTTGGACTGACGGCTAGGCCCGGAAATGGACTTGCCTCAAAATACAGGACCCCCAAAGATCCCTGACAAAGAGGAACAGATAAGGAAACCAAGAATGACAGCAACATTAAGCATAGTAGTCCATCACAGATCGTGATCACTAATTAATTTTCTTCATGTTGGGTCCGCAGAAACGTGGGGGCCCCATGGGGGGGTGCTGATGGGTGCTGTTTGTTTCTTGTTCAGGGCCTCTACGATGGACTGGCTCTTGCACATCATCAGCATGCCATGGAAGTTCACGCTCTCCGTGCCGGGCATCCCGGTTGGACCTCGCGTCGTGCGTGGATGGAGGTCCTTAGCCTTGCGTCGTGGCGCATTGTCCTGGAGCTTGAAAAACGCGTCAAACAGTTGCATATACTTGAGAGTTGACATACAATTGTAATGTATTGCGATGTTTTGGGCTAGTCATTGTCCAGATGAGTTTGATCATGCCTCGCATTGTTTGCTTATTGTATTTGGCCTGTCGAGTCCAAGGGTCGGCCTTTGCGACAAGCAGACAGGTTACCAGGTTCGTGATGGCGCTGTATTTCTACTTGAGCAGCATGGACCGGACCAAATAGAATCTCTGACTGATACGGTGGGATCTTATTTGATGGGTATATTATTTGGATACGTTGGCCAAACATCAGCTCTCCAGTATGTTAATTACCCTTCGCTTCGGGCAGTGGAAGAACTCCATCTTTGCCGCGACAGCTGAGCTGCTTTGTCTCAAGGGTTATGAGGTCACGCGAGAAGATCGTGTTTCCAGAGGGACCAATGACATTCTTCTTTGACCCGGTTTGATGTCTCAAATTTAGGGTGCAATGGTTTAGTGTTTTTGTGAAAGATGGTGTCTCTGATTGAGACGAAGTGGAAAACAACTGCAGACCCCTGGATGCACAAGTTCTTTTCTGGATCAGGAAGACCGCTCCCCACACATCAGGATTCCATTTTGTGTTTGTCGGATATGAGTTCATAATGCAATGCCAGCAAAGTGAGTCAACAAGAAAAGGGTGGCCTACAGACTTGCATCTTCATTAATGGCAGTTCTTGGGCAAAGCAGGGAAATTCAGGCGTCATTGGTTACACAGCTTTGACTGGCCATCTTGGCCCCCACAATGCTGAGCTGGGGCGCTCCAGCGCTATCCCTGCCATGCAGGCAGGTGTTGCCTAGGTTGTTTGTTTGGTTTCCAAAACAGTTTTGCCTTTCAAGAGGTGTGCTCATTGGCACGTTGTCTCTCAAAAACAGACTGCACATTTGACATGGTGAGTTCGAGCAGCTCAGCCGGGGCATTTGGAACGATTCAGCACTCCGAAGGCACGCTGGTCCGTTACAAAGACCGACAGCAGTGAGACTGTGGGACACTGAGCTGACCTCTTGAATGTGCACTCCCTGAAATAATCATGGAAGTCGAAAACCACCTGTTTGTAGAGGAACGGGCCATTTTCATCCATTGTCCATTTTCAGTGAGTGCAACACTTGAATCACCTCTTCTGGGTGAAGCAGCAAAAGGTGAGTACCCCAGGAAGGGTTGATTCATGTTGATTCTTTGGACATGTGATTCGAGTGCTCCTCCGCTGATTCTCGATGTTTGCTGGATCAGTTTTAATTGTTTCCTGCTCTTATGCAGACCACCAATCTTGACGGTCTATATTCATTGAATTGTGTGTTTTTGTATCTTACTACAGTAGCTCATTGTGAGGCTCTGCGCCTTTGCTGGTTTTAGGCACCACCTGGATACTGTAATGTATTTGCCTCGTGCTTCAGTGCCCCACTTGAGGTTTGGGACAGATATGACCGGCAGGCGCAGTGGTAAGAAACACTGAGGGCTTGATATGGATTGATCATGTATGGCCCAGTATGGCCACGGCCACGTGAGTGTTCTGGCAACTAGTGTGGGATCGGAGTGCCGCAAAGTGTTATGGGAGCTTAACCTGCTGCTAGATGCCAAATATGTGCCGAGAGCGCTCTGAGTACCCATAGCCGTGGTTCAGTTTGTCTTCTTCTTTGATGTTGTTTTTTGGATAAATGGTTTGGGTTTTGCATCAAAGCCAAGCACACTCTGATAAATCTAGATGTGAGGAATAACAATGATTGTTGACAGTTAGGATGTTTAAGGAGATGTGATATGCCCATCCATAATCCATATGTCTATCCCTGTGAATCGGCCCAAAACGCCTTGCTCAGGGCGGTCGCATTGGTGCCGGGGGCTTCGGCTTCGTTTACAAGGCGCAGAGCCGAGCCTCCAAAGAGATGGTCGCGGTTAAGGCGCGGTAGCTGGGGGACGAAATCCGTGCAGAAGACACCAAGAAAGACTTGATGTGAACTGTTACAAGACGTTTTCAAGTTGTAACAGGTAAACTGTAAACTCTTCATAGTCTAGTAGCTTCTTGTTAGTAAATTAGTAGCGATGGCCCTCCAAGCTAATAGCGATGGCCTCCACCTAGTACTAGCGTACAAAGCTAGGAGAAAGCTGGAACCTCAATGTTCCATCAAACCTCGATGCTCCCAGGCTGTCCCGAAGTTGGACCTCAAGCGGGCGCCGCAAACCGCCCCTGAGCAGCTAGCACAGATGCGAAGGCCACTGCAGGGTGGGTGGATGGCTGGGTTGTCTACAGCCGCATACGGTGGGTAAATTGCGAACATGATTTCTTTGTTCCTGTAGTAACAGGTGCCACGCTTCTAGTAACAGGTGCCTTACTAGTAGTAACAAGAAGCTAGTAGTAACAG